TATATAAATTCTGCGCTTCTAGAAAAATGAGGAAGTAGCAGTCTTCCTCACAATATTATTGTGTTTGAGTCACCATTTTCTAAATAATTACATATATTTTATGCTTAACTATGAAAACAAATATTCATTTGTGTTTGACAAAAAAAAAAATATATATATTCATTTGTGGTCTGTGGATTATACGTGTATCCATATTTCCATGCATGTACGGATTGCTAGAGTCGATCAATATAGCACATGCAGGACCGGCCCGCAGGACAGGCCACCCAAGCGGTGGCTTGGGGCACCACAATTTTTTTTTTTTTTTAAGGTTTTTTATTTTTTTTTTGGTAAAAAGGCCCATAAAATGAAAATATTTAGTAAAAACTAAAGTTTTTTCGAAAAAAATAAATAAAATAGGGCCCAAACAATTAAATTTGAATGTAATAATATTCAAAATATCATTATTTTTGTATAATTTACTAAAAATAGGTCAAAAAAAAAAATTTAGCCCTAAAACTTATAAATATATTGGACATTATTTTATTTTTCGTGTAGGGCCTCACAAATGCTCGGACCGGCACTGAGCACATGCATGGTGTGAAGAAAACAATTAAATTAAGAATTCTGTAGCCATTCATCTTCCTTGTTATATAACACATAACATAAGCACACTATACCAAAACTCAAAAATATAGGAAGAGAAAAGAAAAAGATATGAAAGTAACACAAAAGCCTAAGATAATATTCGTCCCTTATCCTGCGCAAGGCCATGTTACTCCGATGCTCCACCTTGCATCGGCTTTCCTTAGCCGTGGATTCGCCCCTATCGTTATGACTCCCGAGTCTATCCACCGTCGGATCTCGGCTACTAACGTGGATCTTGGGATCACGTTCTTAGCCTTATCTGACGGGCAAGATCGTCCGGACGCACCTCCCTCGGACTTCTTCTCGATAGAGAATTCGATGGAGAACATCATGCCCTCTCAGCTCGAACGGCTCCTACTAGAAGAAGACTTGGGTGTGGCTTGTGTCGTGGTTGATTTGCTGGCTTCGTGGGCTATCGGAGTGGCTGATCGGTGTGGTGTTCCGGTCGCTGGATTCTGGCCGGTGATGTTCGCTGCTTACCGTTTGATCCAAGCAATACCGGAGCTAGTACGGACAGGCTTAGTTTCCCAAAAAGGTAGTTTGCATTATTTTTATACAAAGGTTAAAAAAAATATTAAAAAAAAATAAAATAAAATAAAATAAAAATACAAAGGTTAAATCACATACCACGTTGTTTTTAATATATTATTGTGATTTATAACTTAGCGGATCATAAACAACCAGGTCCGGCCCACCCATAAAGCAGGCAAAGCATCTGCTTTAGGTCACAAAATATAATAAAGTTTTTAGGGCCACATTACAAAAAAACTTGCTTAGCCTAGTGGTTATGTAGTTAATAAGTTAGTGTCAAATCTTGAGTTCAAATCTCGTCTTCTATAGTTTTTGTTTAAATTTTTAACAATAGTTTTAAATAAAAAATTATATTATTGAAATATGCTTGAGGCCCCAAATATCCAAGGACCGGGCTGTAAACAACAACTCTATAATTCTTTATCCTAACACTATGCTGGATCATATCATTGTATAATGTACTAATTTTATTCTTGGTTGACAAAAAATAATACTCTAATTTTTACACATGCATGCATATAAATCATAAAATATAAATGCCATCAATATTTCGGTAGATCCATTATAAAAAGAACAATATATCATGGTAATTGGTTGTCCACTCACGTTGGGGTTCAATATAGGGTTTTTAATTAGTCACTCAACATAGGTTTTTAAACAGAACATTTGTAGTTGATAATTACTGGATTATATATTACTCTCTATGTTTCAGTTTAGTTGTCGTTTTATGATCTAAATTATGTTTCATAATAGTTGTCGTTTTACGTTTTCAATGCAAATGTTTTGTAAAAATTCCAGTTTTATCTCTACTGTTTTAATGTTTTAGGCAATGAATTTTTTTATAAAATACATTAATAAAGGGTAAACATAAAATTTAATGTTTTTCTTAATTTGTGTGAAAAAATCTTAAACGACAACTAAAACGAAACGGAGGGAGTATATGGTTACCCAGAAAATGCAATCATTGGAATGCGATGATAAAGAAATGAAAGTGCAAGTTACAAAGTCTTAAGTGACTACTCAAAAAAGAGTTTTATTATTGGATCATTCAATGATATTATATATATATACATACATATATACAACATGAAAATTGTCAAGTAAAACTTTTAGTGGCTTGACAATTTTTAGTGGGAACCATGAATCCAACCATATGAACAAGAAACACCCATCACTAGTCTCATTAATTTGATGAAGCAATTTTCCAAACTAACTTGAGAACATATTTTGATTTCCTTTGTTATTTTATTTCCTTTCGTCATATTTTTATGGTTACTACACATTATTGCATATTAATGACAGTTGTAACATTGGTGTGCAGGCTGTCCTCGTCAACTAGAAAAACCAATAGTCCTGCCAGAACAACCGCTCCTATCCGCAGAAGATCTACCGTGGCTGATCGGAACTCCGAAAGCTCATAAAAATCGATTCAAGTTCTGGCAAAGAACTCTAGAACGAACAAAAAGTCTCCGTTGGATATTGGCAAACTCCTTTAAAGATGAATATGATGATGTCAACAACCACAAAGCATCCTACAAAATATCTAAAGATTTCAACAAAGAAAACAATGGTCAAAACCCTCAAATCCTTCACGTAGGTCCATTGCATAACCAAGAAGCAACAAATAATATAACTATAACCAAGACTAGTTTTTGGGAAGAAGACATTTCTTGTCTTGGTTGGCTTCAAGAACAAAATCCAAACTCAGTCATTTATATATCATTTGGAAGTTGGGTTTCTCCTATAGGAGAATCAAATATTCAAACATTGGCATTGGCGTTAGAAGCTTCAGGGAGACCTTTTCTTTGGGCACTAAACCGGGTGTGGCAGGAGGGACTACCACCAGGGTTCGTGCATAGAGTCACAATTACCAAAAACCAAGGAAGGATCGTCTCGTGGGCACCGCAACTTGAAATTCTTAAAAACAATTCTGTGGGATGTTACGTGACTCATTGTGGCTGGAACTCGACCATGGAGGTACATACACTAGTATTGTATAATCATCTAACATGTATTATATGATTTTGGTACCTATTATATAAATACAATGTGTGTTTAATTTTGATTCATTGCTTGTACAATAGGCGGTGGCAAGTTCTCGTAGGCTACTATGTTATCCCGTGGCCGGAGACCAGTTTGTGAATTGTAAATATATCGTGGACGTGTGGAAAATTGGGGTGAGATTGAGCGGGTTTGGAGAGAAGGAGGTTGAAGATGGGCTAAGGAAAGTAATGGAGGATCAAAATATGGGTGAAAGATTGAAGAAGTTGAGAGATAAAGCAATGGGGAATGAAGCTCGTTTGAATTCGGAAATGAATTTTACACTTTTTAAAAGTGAAATAAAATAGACGAGCGAAGTAGTACCATAATGTTTACATTTTCATTGTTCCACTTCAAAATAATTACGTGAAAATGTAAGGTTTTTATTTGAATCAATGATGTTTTGATTCGACTGTTGAAGTTTTTATTTGGTGAAATATTTGGTATGAAGCCTTAGACCATGTACATAGGAGAACTTTTAAGAGTATCATAAGCCAATTTATTATTTTTAAATAGACCAAACATGTTTTATGGGTCTGATCCGTATCATCCCAGTGAAACTCATGATACTGGGTATCATGTGACGTGGCAGGGCGTGATTGGTCGCAGAAAATTTTTTTGCCGACAGAAGAGAAAAAAAAAAATCATTTACTCTCTCTCGATTTTTTCTCTCCTCTCTCACGGCAATTTGCCGATTTCTTCTCAGCTCCGGCCGGTACGACGTAGATCTGTCGCCGTGGAGAATCGCAGTACCAAACCAATCTCCCTGTGAGCGACGGAGCTGCTTCGGTTAGGAATAACAGAGGAGGAAGAAGCAGTTGTTGTTGCTGCGATTGGATCTCTAGTTACTTTAGTCTCAGTTTCATTCATGGAGGACAATTTGCTGCAGCTTGAGAACGATATCACCGATGAAATAAGCTTTTCCATGACCAAAATAAGGCATCCTTATCTCACTCGCAAAAAATTCCATTGTTTCTATGTTGAGAATTCTGTAACGTTTGTTTCTTTTCTTGAGCCAGGTCTTGTTGTTCTCGTGTCTGGAACCACTTATAGACATTGCAGAACATCAAGCTTGTGCTTAACGATGATGGACTGAACTTCAAGCTTCTCCATCGTCCACGGTAATGTTCTGTTCTTTCATCCGAGAAAAATATGAAGGGACGTCGTGTTATAGCTTGAGAAATACAAGGTTGTTGGTTTAGATTCATAGGATTGGAATCAAGAAATAGATTTGTTTGATTGGGTTTGATAAGAATGGGTTTATGGCTGCAAAGTTTCTTGGTTTTGCTGAGCGCACACAAGGTGTTTGATAAATTGCCAAAGAGAAAAACGGATTGGGTTTATGCAAATTTTAGTTGGCTGATGGATGAGAATCAAATAGTGAGTAGGTTTTAAGGAGTTGTGGAAGATATTCTTCGTCACCATGAGACAAATTAGAGGAGTTAAGTGGGTAAAGAAACCCGGATTTTTTTTTACATCTAGTCAGGTATATATGTGTAATTTCGCTATAGGTTTTGTTTTGAAAATGAATCTTTTAGACTTGAAACGCTTTCTCAAGCTTATGACTTGTGGATATAGGGAGAGGAACTGAGAAAGCAAATTGGTGCAGCTGCTTATATCGAGTGCAGTTCCAAGACTCAACAAGTAAGTTCCCTGACTCAAGAAGTAATGTTTTGGTGAGAATGTTAGAATCTTATGATGACTTTACTTTGGTTATGTTGTAGAGAGAAACATGTAAGATCTTCCTTTTATTTTCCACTTTCTCCATTTTCATGCACCACATGGATATAACCAGTTTGAAATGCAAACGAGTGATTTCTTGTATGAGCTTATCCAAAAGACTAGAACATGTTCATATTTTAGCTCATCTCTTATTTTCTGAATGTACTAAAGTATGCTAACCCTCTCCTTTTTTCCCAGATTCCATGGCCTAAGCCTCCTACAAAGTGGGACGACTTCTGTGTTCTATAGTTTGAATGTACTAATGTTTATTTGGTTTGAAATTGTTCTTGGTTCTGTTTCTTAGGTATACTGATCAGTTTATACTTTATTTTTGAAAGGAAACCAAGTTTTTTTGGATTGTAATATTACATTTTCTAATCTTATGTTTTTATATATTTATTTTTGATTTTGCAAATAATTTTTTTTTTTTATGATACTTAAACCAGTTTCACCAATGTAAACAAATTTATCAACAGTATCATAAAAAATCTCAAACAATAAACAAACATTAAAATTAATACTAAAAAAATGTTAATGATACTCATAGAGTATCAACTATGTGCATGCTCTTAGACCATGTATATTTTTAATCTACATATACATTTTTATAGTACTTTTTTGCTTTAATTCTTTTGGATCCGGATTTGACCCGGGTTTTAGTCTATTCGGATCTTGGATTAGCAATTTAAGGGATGTTGTCTTAATTTCAAACTAATAAATGAAGCCATGTTGTCTTAATATCTTTCATCTTAATGACCCTAATAAATAGCCGATTTTAATGGAAAATCGTTTTTATATTTATGCTCATAATAAATGTCCAGATTTTAACAATATATACATATATTATGAAATTATAAAGAAAAAAACGTATTTATTTTTTTAACAGTATATATATATATATATTATGTTAATAAATTTGTTTAATATTCTAATAATAAGCTATGTCATTTTTCTTTTACAATAACAGATTAAATATAGGCAATTGCCCATTTAAATTGCAATAAATTTAAAATCAAAATAACAATCTACATATATATTTTTGCAGGGTTTTTTGCTTTTAATAATTTGGATCCGGGTTTTACTCGGTTTTACTATATCCGGATCTTGGATAAGACATTTAAGGAAATCTAAAAAAACCCGTCATTAATGTAGATAATTACACATATATTTTGGTATAAGCATATTCCAAAAATCTCTCCCAGATCAAAGATGTTACGTTCAAAAATTGTTGCCAAAAATCTCTCGCTTTCCTTCTAAATCTCTACCATTGGCTGTCATCCCAAATAATTACTCATAATTATCTTTCCTATATTTCTTTTTTTTTCGAGATTTGCAAGAAAATTATTCAATTCCAAAAATAAAAGATTTTGATGATATTGTGTACTTGATCAGCAAGATTTTAGGAACTCACCCATCCAAAACCCTATAGTATTCTCAAAACAATATAAATACCTTTCATTAATTAGTCTAATAAAAACTCACCAGTTTTATAGAAAATGAGAAATCGCAGACGTGATGCAATCTGTACGGACTCCGGGAAGAGCTAGGAGACAGTGGTGAACCGGGATCTAAACCTCGTCGACGATGTGAAGATGGTGACGAGGAGGAGATCGTAATTCTTTAGGTTTCGATTGGCAAAACAAGACGATCAGCGATCCAAAGCTCCACCGCCTGAAACGCAACATCGAATTGATCACACCGAATATCTTCAGATTTCGGATATGCTTTTCCAGTGGTAGCTTCAAAATACACGCCGGGAACTCCTTGATACGCTACACAGAGAGTAGATCCATGCGTTTTGCTGCAGCTTTGAAGAAACAAGGCTCAGATCGACGGAGCCGTTACTTTGACCGTTAACGACGGTGACTTCATCTGCTAAACCACCGATGATTGAGTTTGAACTTTCCGTTTCTAAGTTTTTCATTTTGGGTATATGAGAGAGTTGAATAAAAACAAATTGGGTTATGTAGGTCTTTACAAAATTGGTAGACATGATTTTTTTTATTGGGTTCTAATACTCTATGTGTTTATTTTTTCATTATGTGAACTAATGAAAGTTGCATACTTAAATTTTTTTTCATGGCAGTTCTAAACATATTATTTTTAATATTTGTGATTATATAACAATAATAGGTTAGTGGTAATTACATGGATCATTAAGGTTTGAATAGTGATAAAATAATTAGAAAATACAAATAAAATAACAAGGCCGGTGCAAAACTATTAATTCAGACCTTAATTATCGGATCAGTTCAAGCTTTAACCCATGTCTTTTTCTGAAATTGCTAAAAATAAGTAATGTTCTCAAATAAATTCAAATATCAAATCTTCATAAATAAATTAAATACGTAAGATTTAAAATTATGGAGCAATCTTTTCTAATTAAATTCAAAAATTTCTAATTCAAAAATTTATAATTCAAATATTTCTAATTGATATATTTAAATTTTTTGGCTTTTGTTTGCCCATTTAGCTATGGTTTTTGAGTTTTTATAAAATATTTTAAATATTACGGGACGAATTGTATGACACGGGTTTGGTTAGGATTGATATTAATATAAATTTAAAATATCACTAATACATCGCTATAACACATATTAAATCCTCATTTTATTATTTAAAATTTAGCATACGGTATACCGCGAGTAAAATCAGTATAAAACGGGTTAAATCAGCATCTTATTCAAAATCATACAATTGAATCTATTATTTTTATACTACGTCTATCTATAAAATTTCGTCTCACGGTATATTATACATTTAAATTAAACAAAACAATAATATATATCTATAGAGTATCTTAAAACAAAACATAATAAATTTTTCTAATAAAAATATAGACCCGCGGTGTACCGCGGGTTAACATCTAGTAGGTGATATTTTTAGAGTATTACAAGTCCATAGGTGATATTTTTAAAGTATTACAAGCCCATAAAAATTTTTTTTAATAATACTTTATGAGTACTGTGGGAACATATTTTAACCATATTAACGAATATATTTGACTCTAGTGACCAATAAATATATATTTTTAAATGGATACAAATTTCTTTGGAGAGCCATCAGTATTCATATATCAAGAATCAAAATAGATAAGTTGATCTGGTCTTATATGGTGCACGCATGTCAATCATCTTTAAGTTGAACGAATTAAAAGTAGTTGACAAATTAAGCGAAAAAATTGCGACATTGTCTTGCACAACGTTTTCCTCATACGCCTTTATATAATCATAAATATATTATATTAGATTGTAGTTATACCATAGCCAATTATCTTGTATTTAAAAGATTGGCCAATATTCGCTCATATACACTACAAGTGAAAGTTTTAAGTTTTTTTTTTTTTTTTTTGGTGAGGTGAAAAGTTTTAAGTTTTCTAAGGATTTAAGTTAATCAGTTTTTTGTAAACATCATAAATGTGTGATTTATAGATTAATTGTCTAGTTTATTTTATAGATTGTCTAGTTTATTTAACGCATCATTGATTTATCAAACAAGAAAATGTATATTAAACATAATGATAAAATAACATATTAATAACTAATTTTATCTGATAATTAACTATTAATTTTATAATCTTTTCTTTGTACTTTTTCTTTTAATATATAAAGAATTTTCATTACTTTTAAGGCCGTTTATTTTGCAGAAAAAAATACACTAATAAAGCAATAATATTCTTCTTACACACAAATAAAAAAGGATTAGCTGAAAATAATTAAAACGAAACGCGGACAAAAATAATTAAACGACACGCAAAGGTGACGTTTTCTTTGACCGCCAAAGAAGAAGAAAAAAAAAAATGAAGTCTTGAGGAAATCTGACGAAGAAGAAAACATCTCTGAGACCAACGAAAGTATCCATTTTTTTGTCTGCAGTAATCAATCGCATCGGAAAAAAAGAAACCTTTTTAGCTTCTTTCGTCGCTGACGTCTCTCTATCTCTTAGGTGTCTCTTTCTTTTCTTCAACGATTTCTCTCTTCCTCTTGCTTTGGCTGATCGATTTGGGAAAAATTGAGCTTGCCAAGTCAAGCAACCCAATTTTGTTGGTAATTATATGAAACTTTTGTTGATTTTATATGCTCAGATTTAAGGGTTTTAAATCTTGGAGAATTACGTTTCTAGTAGTGGGCAACATTTCAAGATCGTTGGTGGGAATTGAGATTGTTTTGGGTTATTGAATGAGTGTGATCTTTGATCTTGGTTACTGTAATTTTGTGTGATTGAATCAAAAGTTGTCTTCTTTTGTTACAGATTACAACATGTTAGGTGATAATGGTATTGGATTTGGTTGGTTAATGGTATTGGATTGATACTAGTTTCTCAAGATTATGGTTATCCTTTTAAAGAGATACTCTTTGTCTTGCTTCCTAGGTTGTATTTAGTATAGGGTCCAGATACAATGGATGAAAACAATAGGAATCCATTTGCAAGTGCAAGTACAAGTGCAAGAGCAAGCGGCAGTACAAGTGCGAGCTCTAACTCGAGTTTTAGTAGCAGTGTGGCGGATACAGATGATGATCAAACCATTGCACGTATATTAGCAGAAGATGAGAGCTTAAGAAGAGAAGGCAAGCTTGGGAAGAGATTATCTCATTTGGATTCTATCCCAGTATGATAAACATCTTTTAACTAATTTCCATATGTATATAGGCTTGGATGTGTGCTACTTACTGTTAATGTTAGTGTCTATTAGTGCAAATTCTTTGAATATCCTATACTTGGGAGTAACTTTTTGCTTTGTATCCTGTGGAATTTCGTATTGGCAGCATACTCCTCGGGTTAACAGGGAAATACCCGATATAAATGATGCAACATTAGACCATGAGCTGCTCTCTGGGAGGTTCTTATCTTCTTATCCATGTTTTCTTTCGTGTCTTCATGTTTTATTACCTTGATTGCATTCTTCATTTGATGCTGATTTGATTATTCATTTGCCAAAAAGCTTAGACAGAAAAAACTAGGTGCTTTGAATATATATAGCTCTAGAACATCCGTTTTGAACTTTTCGTCTAAATCATTTATGATGGTCTCTCTTTTTTTTTCCAGGTTGGCTACATATGGGTTAGCCGAATTACAAATGGAGGGAGATGGAAATTGCCAGGTACGTTGAAAGGAACAACATCTATATAGACCTTGTGTGGACTCTTCAAAAGATTTTGTAGTGATTTTATCTGTCATATCATATGTTATACTTGTTTGCCAGTTTCGAGCTTTAGCAGACCAGCTTTTCCGGAATGCAGATTACCATAAACATGTAAGGAAGCATGTTGTAAAGCAGGTACTGTCTGAGAACCATAATGCAACTCTGTTTCTTGTTCACAAATTTATAGATCTGTTCTGGGAAGAATGTCTAATTCTTTAGTCAGTGCCTTCAGGGATGAATGTGTTTAATTATATAGACTGGGTCTATTTCATAAACTCTTGCTTCTTCTGAAAATTCCTCAGAAACACCCCTCAAGCTGTCTTTCCTGTCTCTGTTGACTGGCGTTCAATCTCTGAAACTTTTTTTCTCGGCTTTAGCAGTTAGCTCATTTCCTGAAGTTCCCATCACAACACCAATTTCCTTAGTTTAGGCCAGATACTACTTAATAGTTTACTGCAATTATTCTAACTTAGCATGTGCATTTTTTTAGTTAAAACAACAACGGAAGTTATACGAAGAATATGTGCCAATGAAATACAGACACTACACCAGGAAGATGAAAAAGTGAGACATTTTTCTTTTTGATATTGTGTCAACGAGTGATAAATTATTCTCTGATTCATTCTTTTTGCTGATGCATTTTGGATGCGAATAGACATGGTGAATGGGGAGATCATGTTACTCTTCAAGCTGCTGCAGATCGAGTAAGTTTTAGAAGAGATACCATCTTTTGAGTTTATTATTATAGACTACAAAATTCTTACAAACATACCTTAAAGATCAGATCTTCTATTGAGCAACTGCATTTTGAGGAATCATCGCAAATTTGACCTTTTATTCGCTCACATTTCGTTCTTTTTTACTTGAATGACTGGCTGCTGACTCAGCATTACTGTAGTTCGAAGCAAAGATCTGCTTAGTCACATCCTTTCGGGATCAATCCTACATCGAGATTCTTCCTCACAACAAAAACCCTCTTAGAGGTACAAAGCCTCTCTTTCTTCCTTTTCTCTCTAACTAAGCCAACTTTACTCGGTCCTTACCGTCTTGTTTGAATCCTTCTACTGTTCTGCAGAGGCTTGGCTTAGCTTCTGGAGTGAAGTGCATTACAATTCGCTATACGCTAACGGAGGTAAAACACAGTTTCCTGCATTCAACTCTGCTTTTTAAGTAACTTATTATCATTCACTAATCATCTCCATGGCTTCTGATTCTCAATCTGAGTAGTTCTTGCTCTTCCAGATGTCCCAACAAGAAAACCCAGAAGGAAGCATTGGCTCTTCTAGTATTGGATTTAAGTTCATCTCCAATGTATACTACTTTCCTCAAATTTGTGTGTGAACTTTGCAATAACCTTACTTTGTTGTATGCTTATCATTGTAAAAGAAAAAGAGTAAACATATATATATTATTTTAAATACCTTTATTAATCATTTCTATTGACTTTTTCCCGTAAGTTTACTTGGAAATGATGAATCATAACGAAAATACAACTATCATCATCAAACAATCTCATCATCAAAATATTGGTTGTGATATTTTAAAAAATGGACCATAATGAGATCAATTTGAACCGACCGGGATGAAAAACAGTCACATGGACCAAGTAAACGTGTCGTTGAGTTATATATATAATTTGATTTGATATATATAAATAAAGTCTATGTCTTTTTCAATATTTTAAAAATTGATTTTGGTTGAGTTTGGAACAAGTAAAGTAATGGGTCTTAACCTCAAGAATAAAAGAATCAGTAGGATCGAACATAAAGCATTTCACACTTTTTTCTTGGACTCGTATAAGCATATCATTTAGGCAGTGCATGTAGTATATGAAAAAATCAAAAATTGAAAATCTTAAGATATTTTATGCAACAAAATTTACATATATTAACTTTTAATTTTCTTATAATTAATTTTAGTAAATATGTTGGATTTAAAATTTTGTTTTTACCATTTAATGATTTTTTTTTCAACAAGCACTTAAATGATTTAAGACTAATTTTATTATCAAGTAACAAAATAGGAAAAAGAAAGAAAAAAAGTTTGGATTTTTATTTGGTTTGGCAAAGGTCAGGTCATGTGTCGATGTTACACACGGCGAAGGAAACAGAACAAGAAAAAATAAAGGCCATTGCTTTCTTCTTCCTTCTCTTCATTACCCTTCTCGCTCTCTCTTTTTTGTCGCGGAGAGAGTTTTAGATTTCCTTCTTCAACTTTTACTTGCGTTTTTTGTTTTTATCAATTCGAAAACCCTAGCAGCAATCTCTGCTGATTTCACTTACCCACCTCAAAATTTCTCAAATTTTGGTTGTTTTATCTCTCTGTCTCCTTCACAAAGTACCACCTATCTGAAACCCTAGGGAAAGAGGATTCTCTTATGTCCTCTTCTGTCATCTTCTCTTACCTCTAAAGTTTCGTTTTTTCGAAACCTCTTTGATCATGGAGAGATCTGATTCAAGGGATTTGTATAACTTTGTTCGCGCTTCTTCCTTAGGTCAGTCTTCTTCTCAAAGGATGTTTCTTTCGTTCTCTTTGTGATTTTTTTCTGCTTATAGCTGATTTTGGATCTGTTTTTGTGTATTGCTTGGTTTGTTTAAGCATATAAAGGGAGGAGATTTATGCTAATGTATGATTTAGGTCACTGAGCTATAAGCGTCTTTAATTTCTCTTTGCTTTGTGTTCTAATGGGATCTTATGTTTCTTTTACTGAATTAACTTTGAAGATTTATGGGTTTGCTTTAGTTATCGATGTTGTGTTCCAATGCCAATTTGGATACTAAGAAACTTGTCTTCAGAGATGTTATGTTATCCATTGAATTGAAAGTTCAGATTTTTATGGTCATGTGTTTGTAATGTTGGATTCTGAAGCAGCTGTTTTTGTATCTGCAGATAAAAACAGTACACTCTTCGATGCATCACAATATGAGTTTTTTGGTCAGAATCTGGATGATATGGAAATTGGGGGTCTGGACGATGATGGAGTGATCGCTCCTGTTCTTGGACATGCTGATGATGATGAGTATCACTTGTTTGATAAAGGAGAGGTAACATGCTTTCTCTGTTGAAAGCTAACATCTTGATAATGATGCATGTAGTGAAAAATGGTTGCAGATGTTTTACTAATAGATATGCATGTTGGTTCCAGGGGGCAGGTTTAGGATCACTATCCGACATGGATGATCTTGCGACAACTTTCGCAAAGGTTAGCATTATTTACAAACACTATTATGACAATCTTAATATCTTACCTACCATGTCATGGTTGCATTTGATGAACTGATAATCAATCATCTTCTGTTTATCCTGGAAAGCTAACGAAAGTAACTACTTCCTCCAAATAATAAGAGCGAAGAGCATAATGCTTGTTGCTTTTTTTCAGCTTCTTCTTTTAGTTTTGACTTGTTGTCAGTAATTTTAAATCTATATATTCTCTTTTGTGTAGTTAAACAGAGTTGTTACCGGACCCAAACACCCGGGAGTTATTGGTGATAGAGGATCAGGATCCTTTTCAAGAGAGAGTGAGTTGAATTCCTAACTTGGTTACTACTGTATAACTTTAGTATTATTTTTTCTCCTGGTATATTTCTTGTTCTTCAGTTTCCTTTTCTCTTCCCGTTTTTTTACGAAGCCGGCAGCTGAGCTTGAGTAATCAGTAGCTTTTTTACTTAGTATAGCTTCTATTAACTCCTTTCTGAGTCCACATATTGTGACCTGGTCCGTTTTATTGAGGTGAATTGTTGGATTGTAGATAGAAGTTGTGTTAGTTGAAAAAATTATGTGGTCATTTTAAGTTGCAAATTCAGTACTTGAAATATCAAATTACCTGTTTCGAGCTATTATTTCCACGATTAGCTTTTTTCTGACTGAATTCTATCTTCTAGGTTCTTCTGCTACCGATTGGACACATGATGCAGAGCTCACAAGCTGGTTGGACGAACAAGATCAAGAAGCTAAGAGATGGTCCTCACAGCCACAATCATTTGCTCATTCAAAACCTTTGTACAGGACATCTTCCTATCCTCAGCAGCAACCGCAGCTGCAGCACTACAATAGTGAACCGATAATTTTACCAGAATCAAATTTTACCTCCTTTCCCCCGTCTGGTAGCAGATCTCCACAGGCGTCACCCGGAAATCTCCATCGTGCTCCTTCTCTTCCTGGTGGTTCTCAGTTGACTTATTCTGCACCTTCCCCACTGTCAAATTCTGGTTTTCATCTTTCAGGATTGTCGCAAGGGCCCCACTATGGTGGTAATTTGGCTAGATATGCCTCATGCGGTCCTACGCTTGGTAACATGGTGCAACCTCATTGGGTCACTGATCCTGGTCTTCTACACGGAGATCATTCTGGTTTATTACATAATCTGGTGCAACAGCAGCATCAACAATTGCCTCCTCGAAATGCTATTATGTCGCAACATTTGCTCGCCCTCCAGCAGAGACAATCGTATGCTCAACTTGCGGCGCTACAGTCCCAACTGTATAGTTCCTATCCTTCGCCATCACGTAAAGTCCCTTTTGGGGTTGGTGAAGTTAGGGAACACAAACATAAGTCATCTCATAGAAGTCGAAAGAACAGAGGCCTCTCTCAACAGGCGTCAGACGCAGCTAGTCAGAAAAGTGAAAGTGGACTGCAGTTTAGATCAAAGCACATGACTTCAGAAGAAATAGAGGGTATACTCAAGATGCAGCATTCCAATTCACACAGCAATGATCCCTATGTCAATGATTATTACCACCAAGCTAAGCTTGCCAAGAAGTCTGCCGGATCTAAAGCAATCTCTCACTTCTATCCTGCTCAGTTGAAGGACCACCAGCCTCGGTCCCGTAATAGTTCTGAACAGCATCCACAAGTTCATGTAGATGCTCTTGGTAAGATTACACTTCCTTCTGTCCGCAGGCCACATGCCTTGCTCGAGGTTGACTCTTCTCCTGGTTTTAACGATGGAAGCGGGGATCATAAGGGCTCAGGAAAACATTTGGAACAGGAACCTCTCGTTGCAGCTAGGGTTACAATTGAAGATGCTCTTGGAGTTCTTATTGACATAGTTGACATTGACAGAACTCTCCAAAACACAAGACCCCAGGACGGAGGTGCCCAACTCAAGAGAAAGCGGCAGATCCTGCTAGAAGGATTAGCGACAGCACTTCAACTTGCTGATCCGTTCAGCAAAACCGGTCAGAAATCCGGGATGACTGCTAAGGATGATATTGTCTTTCTACGTATAGCGACTCTCCCCAAGGGTCGAAAATTGGTTACAAAGTATCTACAACTTATAGTTCCAGGTACTGAGATTGCTCGAGTTGTCTGTATGGCTATATTCCGCCACTTGAGATTTCTGTTCGGCGGCCTGCCTTCAGATACTCTAGCAGCAGAGACGATATCTAATCTTGCCAAAGCAGTCACAGTTTGCGTTCAAGCCATGGACCTTCGAGCACTGAGTGCTTGCCTTGCAGCTGTAGTTTGTTCTTCAGAGCAGCCACCTCTGCGTCCTATTGGAAGTTCTGCTGGGGATGGTGCTTCAGTTGTCTTGATATCTCTTCTTGAGAGAGCTGCTGAAGTAGTGGTGGTTCCTCGAGTCATGCATGGGAATTCTAATGATGGTCTCTGGAGAGCCTCATTTGATGAATTCTTCAACCTTCTTACCAAATACTGCAGAAGCAAGTATGAGACAATCCGCGGACAGAACCAAGGGAGTGCAGCGGATGTTTTGGAGCTGGCGATAAAGAGGGAAATGCCCGCTGAGCTTTTACGTGCGAGTCTGCGTCACACCAATGACGACCAGAGGAACTATTTATTAAACTTTGGTCATAAACCGTCGGCAATTAGTGAGTCGGCGTCTCATGCAAGGGGTGGACAGATCAACTCCGAATCTGTGAGAGGTTAATAAAGAAAAAAGAGAAACCATGGGCTTGGAAGATTCCAGTTCTTGGTTTTCTGGGCTGTGGATCAAACGAACAGTCAAGGGGTGTGGTGTGGACTCAGGAGACAAACTTGTAAGTAACCTGGTGGTGTAGGAATCTTTTCACATGGGTTTCAGGTGAAAAGTGCTTTTAGATTCTGCTCGTCTTCTTCTTCTTTTTTTAACTTTGAACTCTTTTATATTTCGTATTTTCTATTATGGTGGACAAATGCAAATTCTGCTTGGTTTGTGTATTTGATGATGGGAAAGAATGTGAAACATGGAGTAGTAGGTTATCGGAAGAAGCAATGTCTTCCGAGAGAGCCATATTTTGGTGCTCTAATCGTTAGGGAAACAAAAAATAGGAGGGAATCTTAGTGGTTTGGGAAGGATACTAGTGTTTTGTGTACAGAATGCTGATAAAACCCTTTATCCGGAGAATAGTGAGAAGGCGATAGGTGCTAATCATCTTCGATTAACAGGTTTAGAGGTCTGGAAATGCAGCTGGGATAGGGAGTTAAAAAGTTTGTTATCCGATATGTTTATTTCCTCTGAGAACTCTTTCGTGTAATAGTTATAGGAACACACAAAACCCTCTTTTGAATACTCTTGGATCCATCTCTCTCGTTGGTTGTTTCAAGATTTCATCTTCTAAGCTCTTCTACTTTTTTTGTGATGAGCTAATAGTACAACTCTAAGATCCAACTGATTTTGTTGTTCCTCGTAGAATCTTTGGTTTGCCCTTGAAATCATTTGGCCCTTCATTTGGACAGAGTCTTTAAATTACTATAATAAGGATCTTATAGAAATTGATTTTCTATACTACAAAATTTCTGTAATGGTACCAAGGGCCAATGATGAGTGACGCGTAAACTACTAGAATTGACTTAAGCTATTGATATACTTCGTTCATTCTAATCTTTGGTGTATCCTGCGAGTTAAATGTTTGCATTTTCTTATTTTGTAAGATAAGAAAATATATTAAATGCTCGATATTAGCAAATGAAAAAAAGTAATAGAAGAGTTCCAAACATTTTAGAAGTTGCACTAGCTTATGTCAAAGTACATAGAGTTAACTTGGAAGTTGGAATAAACGGACAACCTCATAATTCATTGTAGGCGAAGTTTGAGACTTCATATATGAATGAATGGGAAAATAGAAAACGAATACAAACGATCCAAATGATTTGAATTTCATACAGACTCAAATGCTCCTACAACGTCTTTGATTTAAAACAACAAAAAACTCGAAATTCATCGTCGAGTATCGGGAAAAATGAAAAGAAAGAAATACGAGCTATAGACACCCATATTAGAAAAAGAAAAAAAGAAAGAAAGATTTTTTTGTTTTGGTTTGATTGATAATTAGAAGGAAAACATAATAAAATTATGTTTAGAAATTATGAGGGGAGGAGGAGGTTGAGGAGGTAGAGGTGTTAGGTGTAAGTGTAAAAGATTTGCTTCTCTTCTTCCTCTTCTCCAAGAACCTTTTCACCGATCTCTTGACCGAACATCCTAACGGCGATTCCAGTCTCACTGGCGCTAACTCTAACGCCGTTACGTCACGCTCCTTGCTCGCCATCTCTATTATTGCCCTTATCTTCATGTAGGAAAATTTCACTCATCAATGTTGTAATCAAAACGATTGGAGAACAAAAGCGAAAAACGAAGAAAAAAAAACCAAGAAGGTAGAAAATGTACCTGGATCTCTACGAGATCGTACTCACTTAATCTCCCACTATGAAATGCATTGATTTCCTTAGATCTTATGGCTGAAGAATGATCATTAACCCTATAAAGAAAATTCATTCAAAACGAATTAAGAGGTTTAAATATGAAAGTAGAGTTATTTGAATAAATAAAACTCACGTAGAATCTTGGCGACAAGATTGAAGCGTAGATGCCAATGGAGATAGGTGGAGATCTAAGCTGCAACCCTTCATGATTCTCTCTGGGTCAAGATTCTTACTTTGGTAGATTTTCGTGTCAAAGTAATCAACATTGACATAGTTGCATGTAAAGTATATATAAGATCGTGCTATATGACTATTTTTTTTGGTGGAAAAAAATAAATATCTGCAAATTAATTTGGTCACGTGCTTCATGTTTTCAATACGAGGGAAAAATATTTCAAAAGAGAAAGGGTAGCTTTTCTTTCCCAGTAAGTATACGTACATCAGTTATGTGTCATGTAGAGGTATCTTGAGTAATATGAATCTAATTCGTACTGGATTATGTGTGGTGTGTTTACATTAATATTTCTATTTTATATGGTATTATGATTTCAATGACAATGAGTGACAATGATAAATGATACATAGGTTATGTTTCTGCATGTATAAATTTATAATGTATGTTTGTTTCTTTTTATATGTGTTAGTGTTGTGTTTATGAAATTTAATTTAACGATGTGTTTGAAACAATCAAATATAAAACTTGTGAATTTTAGGAATTTGACTTTTTGGGGTTTGTGAAAAGATTGGCCACATGTAGTGTTTGTGCCATGTGAGGTTTGGAGCGATTTGGTTTAATATACTTTCCACAAATAGAAAGTCGAACCATAAATGAGAGTGGTGAGTGGATTTCTTATTTAAATTTTGAGGCATTAGGGAATACATATTTTGAAAGCAAGATTAAAGTTAAAGGTAGGTATAGAAAAGTTGACATTAGTGGATGAATTAAGACACGTGAAGCATGTTTTACAAACTATTCACAACACGCAAGTCACGTGTCCTCCTTTTTTAAAAATTTCTTAAGAATGAAAAAAGAAAAAGATAAAGACATGAAACATGATTATGAACTTGGAAGTGGACACATGGGTAATTAATATGACTTTGATCGAAATAGGTATTGAAAAGATGTGATAGTGGTTTCGATGTTTAGTCTGATTTTAGTATTCACGACACGGAACATTTGGCCCACGACATTATGGCATGACCTTATGAAGACCACAACATTAATTCATGTATTAAGAACGGATGGTTTGAGCAATTTTTTTCTCTATACGGAATTTATATAGAGTTGTATAATTGTTTTTGGGATTTAAATCGATTAAAGCAATTACACTAAACTATTTAATTTGTTGTCTCGAAGCCATATGTAAAACGTGATTGCTTTGTTTAACAAAACACTCTTTTGGGGGTTAGTTTCTGGAGGGAAGTTAGAGATTGGGCTTATGGGTCCCTATTGCTACCTCAATATCAAAAGGCATTGATAAGACGGCCCAATCACGTTACATTTTGTTTTTGTCAACCAATCTACCGTTTTCTATAAAAGTATAAACCCTCATGTGTAAATTTACATATCAAGATTGATATTAGCTGGAGCAACATATTAGTACTTAGGTCTATGTGATGGTTGTACTTATCTTTGTTATCAATATACATCAAAATCCCGGGAAGACAAGGAAAAAAAATGCCACTAAAACCCAAAAATAACATCCTATCAAGTGAAATCTGTTAGAGCATCTCCAATGGTGAGAGTCTCTCGTAGGCTTTCACCAATTTTTTAATACAAATTTTATCAAATTGTTAGATGAGAGTTTGTATTTTTTTTTTCTTAGCCCAATGGTAGTTTCTCTCTAATGGGGTTCTTAGGAAAAAATTTTTTAAGTTTTGTGGTTGATCTAATATAAGTTTTGTTCTAGTTTGTGTGACATATGAAGAAATCATTCACATAAGAAGATGCTTTGTATATATAAACATAAAAACTTGGGTTACATTTGACTCTCAAAATGACATACTCTCAAAAGAAAACATTTGACTTTTGCATATGCTCGAATCTATTCAATGCTTTCCCTACCTCTACATTAGCAAATAGACAAGCTAACACAATATTTCACATCACAACTCATACAATAAATCTCAACCGGCTGCAAAAACAAAAAAAAGGTTTCAAAGCCATTTACCACTAAGTAGCTATGACTTGTATTATGTGTTTTCAGATTGTCGAGATATACCTTCTGGTCTTCGAGAGAAGTGCCTTTCACTGCAAGTAGAGCATTAATGGGACCACTCTCAGGGTGAGAAGGAAGTGTTGCTAGTGTGTGTAATAAACCTACTCTGTCTTCCTCAGCCTCTCCAAGCCCTATGATTCCTCCTGTTTATCGGTAAAAAGAAAACACTTGAGAACATGTTTGTTGTTCTTATCTATGGATTTATCAAATCAACGAATATTAGGGACTTATGAGTCTAATGACCAAGCTGGAGAAAGGTTTCAATCTTCTAGTTCTATAGAACTGAGGCATACAAGAATAAGAAAATTCAGATTTTATATGTTTTCATAGTGAAGTTACCTGAACAAACGTTGATTCCAGCTTCACGAACATGCTCAAGAGTTTCAAGGCGTTCGTCATAACTTCTAGTAGTGATGACGTTTGGGTAGTACTCTCTTGAAGTATCAAGATTGTGGTTATAGGCAGTGAGTCCAGCTTTCTTTAGCTCTAGTGCTTGTTGTTTCTCAATCATGCCCAAGGTGCAGCAAACTTCCATCCCCATGCCTCTGTTGTAAAGTGAGAGCCCAGAAAGTGAGTATACACATATGTTTCAGCCAGAGACCATAATCAACATCATGTTCATTCTGCTCACAGATACAACAAATACACTTTGAAAATTTCACTTCAACGAAATCTTCCACAACAAAGGTAAAATTCATAGTGCAAAACAGAGACAAAGAATTCATATTACAAACACATCATACATTAAACATTCATAATTGTAAATTCAAAGAACCCTAAAAAGAACATCAAATTCCCCAAACTAAATCATTATAAACTGCATATAAAAGAAGTATATGCTCTTACCCATTACAATTCAAGCTGAATCGATTACTCTCCATCCGTTGAATTTGGATATCCGATTTGCATATCTCTCTCACTCCCGATCGTGACATGCGGTGGGGCAAATGACGAATCCGGCCTAATCGTCGCCGGTGGCCTCTCTATTCTTCCCTCAATCGTCGTCGGCGGCCTCAATCGTGACCTCAGTCGTCGGAGACAGCTTGAGAACAGTGTTTGGTTTCGCAAAGAAAGAGAGGAAACAGTCGGAAATGAGAAAACGTGTTTGGCTTCTTTCTTTTTTTTTTGACGCGTTTTTTTTTTTGATCAAAAAAATCGACGGTTGAGAACACGCCACGTCATTGTCTCTCATACTACTCAAGATTTCTCTCAAGAGAGCTGTCTCTCTTAATAATTCATAGTTTTGATTTATTTTTCAACATTTTTTTGATGAGAACCTGAGCAGAGAACCCAAAAATGCATCCATTGGAGATGCTCTTATAGTCGTAAGTTTTCGAACCCTTTTAAATTTATATGTCTTTAAATTCTCTAGTTAGATTTCCACAAAAGAAAAAAAAAAATTGTTACTTGAACGGAAATGTATAAGTTATAATTCATAACTCCTCGATTAACCAATATACAACACATTACATTCTATCACCAAATAATTTTTGGTCTCAAATGAAAATGTAAGAGTACTAAACCATCATGGTCAGAACCCGAACATGATTCATAGGCCAAAGTTTGGTTAGCATGTAGTGTAGTCTTCTACGATCAAGATCCTCACCAAACAATTCCCATTCTCACCCCTATAAAATCGATAAGCAAAATCCGGAAAAAATCGAGCAAAACATCTATCATCTCCCAAAAATCACTATGTACTTTTTGAGATTGTACAAGGGGTTTTAAATAAATAAGAAGATTGTTGTACTTTTATCACAAACAAGAAGATTTATTATATGTGCTAAAATTGAAATGTTTAGTAAATTGAGGGTGCAATTAATAAATAAGGAGAGACGGAAAAAAGAAGAAGGCTTTTGTTTGTCTCTCTTCCCGGAGATCTCTCTTTCTCTTCTCCATCCTTGTTCTCTCGGCGCGCGCTTCATCCTCATCACCTTCGAATTCGAGTACGTTCTCTAAAATTGATTTTTGCTTTTGGAATTATCTTAGATTCATCGCCATTGTTACGTATAAGAGAGGGGGAATTTTCCAATCTAGGGCCGGTGAAGAAGATCATACTTGAAAAATCTGATTTTGTTGATGAAATCTTTGTGGGCAATTTGCTTGTTTGTTTTTGAGATAGACCCTTTAGATAAAACCGCCATGGAAGCTCTCTGCTTTGTCTAGATCGAGATATATACAATTAAAATGAAGAGAATTGGTTTAATTCAGTACCAAATTGTATGAATTTGGTAATATTGTATATCTGATGTTGGTTTGTAATATGGTAGGTCCTTTGGAATTTCGATTCGTTTAGTTTTCGAAGTATTTAAGTTTCGAGGGTAGTTGCTAGGATGGGTGTGAAGCAGGCTCTAAGGAGCATCGATGCGTTTCCAAGAGCAGAGGATCATTTGCTGCAGAAGACACAATCTGGTGCAGTTGGTAATGGATTTTTTCCTGTTAGCTCCTCTCGTTATTTTAGAATCCCCTGTGTGTTTGGATATGTTAACATTTTAAATTTGTTGTTATTGTAGTATCTATTGTTGGACTTCTTATAATGGCTACTTTGTTCTTGCACGAGCTGAGTTATTATCTTAACACACTTACAGTGCACCAGGTATGTATTTAGTTCGAGCGAACTCTGGTGCTTTTCTGTTTATTGCTCTGAATATAGCCTTCCAACTGCTAGGAATAGTCCTATAAATTCAAGTGGATGATCTTTTGTTTCATGTGTCTTATGAAACTCCGTAGATGGATCATGTGAATTAGTACTCTTCCATCTGTTATCGTTGAAATTCATTGATGCCACTCTGTGGTTAATTTGTTGAGATTACTTGAAAGTCTGTCATTGCCTTCATTAACCTAGTTATTGTCCCGAAGTATGCATTTCTTCTCTAGGTAACTTAACTTGAGTGAGATAATGCAAATTAATTTGAATGTTCAACTCGAAGTTTTGTGATTCATATCATTAGGGAAATATGGAATAGAAGTCTCTCTGTTGATTTAACTTCATTGATACCCTAGTTGTTCTCTGTCCATATGACTGACTCGTAGGGGGTTTTTCATTTTGTCTATTATAAACATTGTAATCAAATTGGAGTTTGTATCATGTTTTGTTTCTAGATGTCTGTGGACTTAAAGCGTGGAGAAACTCTTCCAATTCATGTAAATATGACGTTTCCATCTTTGCCTTGTGATGGTAAGAGAAATCCATTAATATTACTTTCCTTCCTCTATACCTTCTGGAATGTACTTGTCATTGATCTTATTTGTTTTGTAGTATTGAGCGTAGATGCTATCGACATGTCAGGGAAGCATGAAGTGGATCTTGATACAAACATTTGGAAGGTAAGATGAATCCAGATGCTAATGCAAATCACAAATTTCTTCAGATGTTTTGTCTTCCACCTTCTTGAAATTACCAAAGTTTATTTTGTTTGATTGCGCCTAAGACATTATAGCTGTTCTTACTGTTCATATTTAGGTTAAACATTATATTTGAAGGGAACTGTTTGAATATTTCCCTTAGCATCTTTATCTCACTTCTTATGGCATTTGCTCTAGTTGTACTGTTTTATACTCAAGTTAATTGCTCACTAATTGTGAATATCTGCAGCTCCGTCTCAACAGTCATGGTCATATCATTGGCACAGAATATATATCTGATCTTGTTGAAAAGGGGCATGAGCATGGCCACTCACCTCACAAACATGGTAAAATTCTATACTTTATGAGCCTTTACCGAGTTTGTACCTTTTCTGACGAGCTTCTTTTCCCTTAACTGTCGTTTGAATGTATATGTCTTGAATCTTTTGGAAGAACAGATAGTCATGTGCACGTTGTGTCTATGTTCATGTCAAAACTTGTAGTAACCATACTAAGATAAAACTGATAATATTATGTACACCTTTATCAAATATGTTGTACCTGGAGAACTGAATTACTCAAATTATGTGCTCTTAAGCAAATATTAATAGGAATCTTACAAGTTGAATTGAGGCTTATTATTAAGGTGGATGGTATTGGTATATAAGAGAGCCCCAGTGATAGTTGTCATGGTAGCAAATTTTTTTTGGGTATAATAAAGACTTAATCATGTATACACTTCGTCTTTGTGCTTGCTGAAGATGGCAAAGAAGAACACAAGAATGAGACTGAAACCGAAGCATTGAATATTCTTGGCTTTGATCAAGCTGCTGAGACTATGATTAAAAAGGTGAAGCAAGCATTGGCAGATGGAGAAGGATGTCGGGTATTAACTGTTTCTTTTGTCAATATACAAATTAGAGATTTTGTATTGTCGCCATTATAGAAAACAGAGACTAATCTTTTGGATTTTTTCCAGGTTTATGGTGTCCTAGATGTACAACGGGTTGCTGGAAACTTCCATATTTCAGTTCACGGGCTGAACATCTATGTTGCTCAGATGGTTGGTATCATTATCTCGCTTTATTAACCACCCCCTTACCAGGACTTAAGTGAAAAAAGTGTCTGAAATTATGAACCAAGAACATACTATAAACTCAGATTCGTTGAAGTAGTTTGATTAAGTACCATATGATCATTATTGACGTTTGATGCCATTGATATGTCAACAGAAAAAGTATAAAGCCAGACTTTTACATAGAAAATATCATATCCGCTAAATTACTCTCATCATTTGTATTTGCATTTGCACCTCTTTCAGTGACTTACCAGATATACCTTGCTAGTATATAACTATTCTCTTTACTCTGTGAACAGATATTTGGCGGGTCCAAAAATGTAAACGTGAGCCATATGATTCATGATCTATCCTTTGGGCCGAAATACCCCGGAATTCACAACCCACTTGATGACACCAACCGAATACTGCATGACACCAGTGGAACATTCAAATACTATATTAAGGTGTGTACCCAAATTCTTCAGTCTTCTTTTTTATTCATGTATCTCTGCTGGCCTTATTTTATATACTTCATTTACCGGTATGTTCCATTTCGTTGTACACAAATCAGTATTTGTTAGTTTAGGTCACTAATTTCTTGCTAATATGGCGCAGATTGTTCCCACGGAATATAGATATCTTTCAAAAGACGTACTGTCAACAAATCAGTACTCTGTAACTGAATATTACACGCCAATGACTGAATTCGACCGAACATGGCCAGGTTAGTTTTGCAAAGTCCATTTGAACTACACCAGATTCTTATTACTCTGTTTCTTTCTGTTTTCTGATGTGCCGTTTTTCTTGCAGCTGTCTACTTCTTATATGATCTTTCACCTATCACTGTAACCATCAAGGAAGAACGCCGTAGTTTTCTCCACTTAATCACTCGGCTTTGCGCTGTATTAGGCGGTACCTTTGCTTTGACAGGTTTGTCCCATCTCAGTCTTGTCTCAAATACTCATCTTTCAAAATCTTTGCCTAATAGTATAATTTATCTCATACCTTAAAACAGGAATGTTAGATCGTTGGATGTTCCGCTTGATTGAATCTTTCAACAAGAAGTCGAGTACCAGAGCATAAACTAGTTGAAGAAACAGAGACAAAACAAAGAAGAAAAAAAAAACCAAGGAAGGAAGAACAATCTCTCAAACTCCAAAACTTGTATCTGCCTTCTTGAGACAACCACCCACCAGAGATTCCAGGATTGATGATTACACATTCATTACTCAGAAACTCTAGAATCCATGGATATAGTGTTTTTGCATCTTCTCAGTCTTTTTTTTTTCCTCTCTTATGTATTTACTCTGATTATCTCTGGTTAAACTAGTAGAGTTAATTTGTAATTTTATTCACCTTGCTTCCTGAGATTTTAACATTTTTGCATCTTTTTAACTTGTGTCTCAGAAAAAAAAAAAAAAAAAAAAAAAATAGACTGTAGCTCACCGTAAGATAACGTACACTCGTCACACGTGATCCTGTCCTCACAAGTCTCTCTGATTTCGCTTACTCTTTCACTGAAACCCTAATTTGGGGTTTTTCAGATTTCCTTGTTCAATCTCTCGTCGTCATTTCTCCGTCTCACCGTTGAATCTGAAAATGATCACCGGAGTATTGCGCCGATCTTCACTTCCATCGAGGCAGACTCTCTCCGCCGCGTTAACCTCCTTTGATTCATGTCTTTCGCACCATTTCACTTCAGCCACCACTGGAGTTTCCGTCAGCTCTCGATTCACTCTCGCGTCGTCTCCGAACTCGTTTGGTATTGGAGCGAGAGAATTCCACATTAGATCTGAGCCGTCGATGATTTTTCCTGCAGGAATCGCGCCACAAGGTTACGCCACTGTCACAAGGGATCGCAAAAACGAGATTAAGAAAGCTAAGCTTAAAATTTCTCCTGACAATGTCAGACCATTGAGTAGGAAGGAGATCGCTCTACAGGTATATACATTTTTGTTCAAATTCATGGATATTGTCATGGTGCTTCATCAGATTTACATATATTCCAATAAGAACCGGAATGTGAAATTCATAGAGTTTTTGGTGTTGAAATCATTGGGAATTGTTGTTTATGTTGTTGTGTGTTGTGGTTGAATATAGAAAGAGGCAGCAGAAGAAAGCACATCAAAGATAAAAGGAACTAAGATTTGCATAGCGATTCGGTCTTTCGATAACCCGGAAAAGCAAGCTTGGTGTCTTCCTCCTCACACTCGTAAAGTTGCAATGCCCGATACACGAACTCTGTACACGGTGCTACGATCGCCTCACGTTGATAAGAAGTCTAGAGAACAGTTTGAGATGCGGTTCAAGAAACGGTTTCTTGTCATCAAAGCTCAGAGTCATGAGTTGAGCAAGAAGCTGTTTTGGTTAAAACGTTACCGTATTCTTGGAGCTCAATATGAACTCCAATTCCATTGCAAGACTCGTTTGGACATGACTCAAGTGTTAGGCAACATCAATGGCTCCAGCAATACTCAATGAGTTGGCTAAAGATATCATTTTGTAGAAGTTTCAAGACCCAACCGGGTACTCCCCGCAATAATTTTGAACCTTACGGATCCATGAACTCACTCAGCCTTTGCTTCAGATCAGATCAACTAGCTCTTTTCTTGCTTAGTATAAACATGTTTGTTTTTGGATGATTTTCAAAGATCAACTGAGTTTCAGTGGCAAATTGCTTTCCATTTATGTACTGCTAGTTAATCACTAATGATTGAGACACAATATATAGACTGCTAAAGATGTCATTTTGAGAAGTTTTTAGAAGCTACTAGGTGTTGTGTTTTGACCCGAATGATGTAGAACTTGACGGATCCAAGAACTCCGCTTTGCATTAGGCAATTCAAGACACTTAGTCACTTACACTGTATACAATACTAATGATTTGAGACACATAGTATAGGTTAATTTGACGCATCTAATTCTGAACCAGAGCCATTTATTTGCCACACTACACAAAGTTACTAAAACATAAATTATTAACTCAGCCTTTGCTTCACATCCAAGAACACCACCTTCGGGCTCAAGCCAAAAAAAAAAAACAACTCTGTTTCCTTAAATACGCTGACACGTGTAGGAACATACCATAGACTCACCCGCAGGTGATTATAACAAAGTTCCCCTTTATACCCGCCTTTGATTCTTCTTCTTAAATCTCTAAACCCTTTTGCCGTCTCTCTAAAACCCTAATTCTCATTTTTGGGGTTTAACATTTCATCTTCATCGCCAAAACCCATCACTCTCTATCAAATCTGAAAATGATTAGCACAGTACTCCACCGATCTTTCCTTGGTACGTCAAGGCGTACTCTCGCCGCTTCAGTGACCTCCATTAACGCGGCTCTATTTCATAACCTTGCTCCAGCCGCCGCCGCCACTGCTACAGTCTCCGATCTAGCAAATGGAGCTACCAATGTTAAGTCTCTCCCTCTGAATTCGAACCCGTTTGGTGTTAAAGGAAGAGACTTTCATGTTAAATCTGTACCGTCGGAGTTTAGATCGTCGATTGTTTCACCTGCGGGGTTCGCGGCTCAAGAGTATGCTCCTTCGTACGAGAACAGCGATGGAGGGATGGGTGATTCGGAGAGTGTTGGTAGTAGCAGTGGTGGTGATGGGCTTGCGATATCTGAGCTTGGAATATCTCCGGAGATTGTTAAAGCTTTGAAGGGTAGGGGTATTGAGAAACTCTTTCCTATTCAGGTATATATGATATTCTCTCTGTTCCATTTCGTTATACTGAGTTTTGATTTTTTGTACTGAGTTTTTTATGTTTGTGTTTGGTTGAATAGAAAGCTGTGTTGGAGCCAGCGATGCAAGGTCGTGATATGATTGGTCGTGCAAGGACTGGAACAGGAAAGACTCTTGCTTTTGGGATTCCTGTCATTGACAAAATCATCAAATTCAACGCTAAACATGGGTTTGTGTTTTCAGTTCTATATAATGATCATTTGTGGTTGAGAGATTTGCATTATCTTTGGTTCTTATGTTGTCTTTTGATGTGACAGACGTGGGAAGAATCCTCAGTGCTTGGTTTTGGCACCGACGAGGGAACTTGCTCGTCAGGTTGAGAAGGAGTTTAGGGAATCTGCTCCAAGTTTGGATACTATTTGTCTCTATGGAGGTACTCCGATTGGGCAGCAAATGAGGGAGCTTAACTATGGGATTGATGTGGCGGTTGGAACTCCAGGTCGTATCATTGATCTGATGAAAAGGGGAGCTTTGAATCTATCAGAGGTTCAGTTTGTGGTTCTGGATGAAGCTGATCAGATGCTTCAAGTTGGATTTGCGGAAGACGTTGAAATAATATTGCAGAAGTTGCCAGAGAAACGTCAGAGTATGATGTTTTCTGCAACAATGCCGAGTTGGATCAGATCTCTTACCAAGAAGTACCTGAACAATCCTTTGACAATTGATCTTGTGAGTAATCTTATACGTGCTTGTGTTTATATCTGAAAACTGCTCATAAACCCTGAATTGCACTTGAAATTGCAATATTAATCTTGGCTGTAGCAGAGTAGTTAATGAGGTGACATTTTTTTAAATGACACATGTACTTTTATGTTATTTAGGTTGGAGATTCAGATCAGAAACTTGCAGATGGGATTACTATGTATTCTATCGCTGCCGATTCTTATGGAAGAGCATCCATCATTGGTCCTCTTGTAAATGTATGTTTTTTTACTTTGCTTTTAAACCCATTATCTTTATTTCGTTGTTATTCTTCTTTTTGTTTCCAGTCGTGATTTTATAACATATTCACCTTTACAGGAACATGGCAAAGGAGGAAAGTGTATTGTCTTTACCCAAACAAAACGGGATGCGGATCGCCTTGCATTTGGATTGGCGAAAAGCTTCAAATGTGAAGCTTTACACGGTGACATATCCCAAGCTCAGAGAGAAAGAACACTTGCTGGTTTCAGGGATGGGAATTTTAATATTCTTGTTGCAACTGATGTTGCTGCCCGTGGACTTGATGTACCTAATGTCGATTTGGTGAGTTAAAACTACACTTTTCCTTGCTCTTAACTAGTTCTGTTTCTCATTTTATTAACCCATCTTGTGCTTTGTGAATAGGTAATTCATTATGAGCTTCCTAATAACACTGAGACGTTTGTTCACCGAACGGGGCGAACAGGTCGTGCTGGAAAGAAAGGAAGCGCGATCCTCATCCACGGTCAAGAGCAATCTAGGGCTGTTAAAATGATTGAGAAAGAAGTTGGAAGCAGATTCAATGAGGTTAATATTTTTTTTTTACCCTCTTTGTATCTTTTTGTTTGAATGCTTGGGTAACAGTTCTGTATCTATTTGGTTTTGAATTCAGCTCCCTAGCATTGCGGTGGAACGTGGAAGCGCAAGCATGTTTGAAGGAGTAGGTGCTAGATCTGGTGGGTCCTTTGGAGGAGGTCGTTCAGGCGGTGGTTATGGTGGTTACGGTAGCAGCAGTGGCCGTTCAGGTGGTGGTGGTGGTAGTTATGGAGGATATGGTGGCAGCAGTGGCCGTTCAGGTGGTGGTGGTGGTAGTTATGGAAGTTCAGGGGGACCAAGCAGCCGTTACTCTGGTGGTTCAGACCGCTCATCTGGTTTCGGAGGCTTTGGTTCAGGCGGTTCAGACCGTTCTTCAGGAGGATTTGGTTCTTCTCAGTCAAGTGGGAGGAGCAGCTTTGGTGGGTTTGGATCAAACGATGGTAAAAGATCTTACTGAGAGAAGTGTTGGGTGGGTTTTGACTCGACCCGGCAATAATGGAGTTGACTTAGGAGAGAACTCGGTATCTCTGAGTTGAGTAGTTTTAACAAGGAGTCGAGCTATATATAAAATCTGTAGCTACTTCTTGTCTCATAAACAAACATAAGTTATATCATTATTTCATATCCTCTAATTCATTTTTATTTCTCAATTTGAGTGAAATGTGTTCCCTTACTTGGCCACTTCCATTTATAATTCTTGTTAGATTGTGAGTGGCTCATTTGCTCGGCCATCATAAAAGGAACAAAATGTGGATGATCGAAATCAACTCCAGTTTTGATTATCATTGATAAGAATGAGATATTGCAAAGGTAAGATCAAAGTCAACAATTTCGTTTAGTACAAAAGCATTACTCTTTATGTTTCACAACTATTGAACGTTCACATCGCAATCCAATCGACCAAAGCTTTGTTTTTTTCGTGTGGCTTATACAAACATAACGACCAGCAGTTTCACTAGGACGAATGATCTTCACGACTTGCCCACGTTTTAGTCCAAATTATCTCGCAATCCTTGGAAGCTAACAACACCCACAAGTTCCACACTTTAGTTCCCACAACTAAAATTTCATCACCAATAACAAACAAAGTTTCTATATACTAATAACCTGTGTCTCCTTCACTGTGTATCTCTCCAGACACCGTTCTTCGTCTCTTTGGCTCTGGTTGCATTGAAGGGGGTGGACACTGAACATTAGCTTGACCAGTATAAACCAGTGTAATGTTGTGGTTGTGTAGTGGGCTGATGACATCATTCATGTGAGCAAAACAGTCAACAGCATCCACTAAACCCATAGGAAAATCCACTCGCTCTTGCTGGAAACAATCCACCAAACGGAAAAACCCCTCAAGAACGGTGTCCGCATCAAGCTTTTTGCAAGGCATTAATATTCTGGAATATGACTCAACAAGCTGACTATAGAAATCAAACCTCCTACCACTAGTGGCCTCCATAAACTCAAACTGTTGAGGTGTCTTCTCAGCCACTCTCGTCATCAAAGCCCGCATAAAATCCATCCCATACCGCGCCTCAAACTGCGCCGTGACCTTGATAACACATAGCTGCTTGTGTGTGAGACACAACTTAGCATGAGATTGGATAGATGCAGGTCTTAGACGATGATCCCTAAAAGGATGAGGCTCAGGATTATCAAGATCAACACAATAATCATGAATATCTGCAGCTGGAGATCTCTTTGGAGGAGGCAAACCAGGCGGCCTCCATAGTGTTGGTGGCATGACAACAGAATACTCTTCATCATCCATGCGAGCAAAACAGTCAACAACACCCACAAAGACATGCAAACCAACTCCCTCCACTTCCTCCTCCTCCAGCTTCATCACTCGGAGAATATCGAAAAACCTCTCAAGAAATGTTGCCATACAAGGATCACGCTCCTCCCGCTGTGTGGAAGGCCTTAATACTAGGTAATACGCGTTAACAAGCCCACGGTAGAATTCATGCCTCCTATCAGCTCGCTTCATAAACCCAAGCTGACGGTTCATAACAACTCTCTTCCGCAAATCCCACCCGAAATGGAACCCATACCTCGCCACAAACTGCGCTGTGAGCATAATCATACCAAGCTCCTTGGTTGTGATCCCCTTTGCAGTGAATCTAGATTTAGTATCATCCAGTCTTATAGGCCCAAGAACGGGTTCTTGTACACATACTTGGTGATTCTGAGGGTTACAGAGCTGAGATCTCATAAACGTTGAAAGGCGTTCAGGTGGTGGGATATAAGAATAGGTTCCATCATTGAGGTGAGTAAAACAGTCAAGACCACCAAAAAGCGCATGCAAATCAACAGTAGCCATCTCAACACCGTCCTCCAGCTTCTCCAATTGGAGACATTTTGAAAAAAACTCAAGAACGGCGCCCGTACAACCATCAACACTCTTCCACAGATGATCTGAAGGTAGTAATACTCTAGAATAAGCATATTCAATAAAATTGAAAAATCTTGACCTGTTATCAGTTGGCTTCAGAAATTCAAACAAAGGGTTCATAGCCACTCTCTCCATCAAATCCTGACGAAAACGAGGCCCATACCGAGCCACAAACTGCGCTGTGAGCTTAATGATACAAAGCTCCTTGAGAGTGACCCGCTTTTCAAACAATCTATATGCACGAGAGCAACGTCTTTGATCACAACCTTGAGTAGTAGTAGTAGTAGTAATAGTAGTGAGCTGGTTAGATCCCAGTGGTTTTATATCTGAAAATTGTAGCATCATCATTGAAATGCGTCCAGGTTCACGCATGGCATCATTAAAGTCTTGATCATCCATGTAAGCAAAAGAGTCAACACCACTCACAAAAGCATGCAAATCAATCATAGCCATAACATCTCCTTCCTCAAGCTTCTCCAATTGAAGACGGTCGAAAAAAACCTCAAAAACGCCCACAAAGGCAATACTAATCTTCATCATAATTTCATCACTGCAAGGCCTTAATACAGTGGAATAGGCACGAACAAGACCATTATAGAAACTAAACCTGATATTCATCGACTTCAAAAACTCAAATTGAGATTTGTTAGCCACTTTCTCCCTCAAACCCTGTACAAAATACATGCCGTACCGCGCCACAAACTGCGCTGTGAGCTTAATAATATTAAGGTCCGTGCGTGTGATCGAATTAGGACATCGAAAAGAAAGATACCGATAACGAGATGGAGGCGACGGAAAATCGGCTTCTTCTTCATAATCATCATCCTCTTGATTCTTAGAATTAAGGTATTCATTAAGCGTTTGCTTGTAGAATACGTTACTAGGGTCTGAGTTACAGAAAAACCTAAAAATTTCTCCATTAAAATTTGTATCAATGGACATGAGCGTCCTCTCCAACTCCAACCCCTTTTGAGAAACCAAACGTGCAATTGTCTCGACAAAAATTCTGTTTTCTGGAGCTTGCTTCATGATTGCTACATCAATCTCCCAAGAACCCTAGCCTTAGCTATTTAATAATTTCCAGTGGGCCGTTTTCCAGTGGGCCAGTAAATGGGCTTCTTCTCGATACCAGTCGAAGGAAGACCTCCTCTTTTTTTTTTTTAAATCAGAAGGTGTGAATAATCCTACTTATTATTACCGAAATAGGAATTTGTTGAGCTAAACCAATAGATCTTGCAAGTTTTTGGATAGAAAACTAATACAAATAAGTTGTTTCAAGCTTCAATTCTCATATCTGACAAACAAAAATAAAACACAGTCAAACAGTTTGGTTTAGTACAAAAGTATTACTCTTATGTTTCACAACTCTAGCGTTCAATTCGCAATCCAATCCACAAAAGCTTTTTTTTTTGGCTTATACAACATAACGATAGGTAACATAACGACCAGCAGTTTCACTAGGACGAATGATCTTCACGACTTGCCCACGTTTTAGTCCAAAGTATCTTGCGATTGGATCAGTCACTTGGATCCTTGGAAGCTAACAACACCCACAAAGTTTCAAACTTTTAGTTACAAAACTAAAACTTCATCACCAAGAACAAACAAAGTTACTATATACGAACCTGTGTCTCCTTCACTGTGTATCTCTCCAGTAAAGTTTTCTTCTCTTCAGTGGTAAGAACTTGATGCTCAGGAACAAGAACATGTTCTTTAATGTTCACTAGCATTTCCGCCTCCTGCACCATCCACCACCAAATCATGGTTTTAGGATTGTAAACGTCGATACATCATAACAAGAACAAAAGATCAACGTTGGTTTTTACCTGGAAAACTTCCAGATGAAACTTTGAAGAGATCTCACTAATGCAAGTTCGAGCAAAAGGGGTCAAGTTCTGTTGCACAACCAAAATAGCTCTGTACACATTCTCTGATTTCATCCTGTTCGTGTACATCTTCATCGTCTTCACTCCAACTTTCGCCTCATCCGGGAAGAAAATGTAGAGCTACAACAAGAGCACACAAATCAGAGACTAAGACAAATAATTCAAACACACATAAACAATCTTTCTCTATACTCTGTCACTAAAAACCATATCCACAGCTTCTTACAGATTAAAGACATAACATTTATCTACACTCTCTGTAACATTCCATGTCTACTTACTAATTGAGAGAGTTTCTCTAAAACTAAGACACCTAACACATCTTTTCTCACATTCCACACCTAGATAAACAATGATGGACTCAGCTAAAGAACACCAAAAGATAAGCTGATAAACACATTGAAGGAGACATATATAAACAAACCTGATCACTGTTATCATTTCTCTTAACCTTAAGAGTAACAAGATCCTCTCTTTTCATGTTATCACCATGTTTCCTAATAAACTGTTGTTTCGTCATCGTTAGTTCAGAATCTGCTATAAAATAGCCACGATCCTTTAACATCTGCATCAACGTCTTCTGGATTCTGTACAGTCTTTTGATTTCTTCTTCCGTCAACATCTTCTTCACCAAGTAATCTGCACAACATCAAGCGAGCGACACACGAAATTAGGGTTTTCAAAAATTGAAATTTATCAATCTCTTTGAGAACAATACACAGCTACGGTCATCGGAAACTTACGTTTAGAGACAAATCCACAGAGATGGTTGAAGAAGTGATTTACAGAGAGATAGAGGAAGACGAAGAAGAAGAAGAAGCGGCGTTTCAAGCTTTTACCTCCGAACCCTTTTCTCGATTCTATTATATTGAAGCTTTATTGCATATGAAACCACAATTTATACTGACTTTCTGTTTTAACCCCTGAACTGTCATTTGGATCTGTAAACTCCGGATCCTTTAATAATTCAGTAAAGGCCCAATGGGCTTTTACGGCCCAACGTAATTAAACCCTTGAGTAGATTTTTATCAACTTGCACTGTTCTTGTTGAACTAAAACCCTTTGCTTTTCTTCTCTCTAAATCCCTAATTCTCCAAATTTTGGGGTTTTACATTTTCCCTTATCAAAGAAACACCTGAATCTGAAAATGATCACTACAGTACTACGTCGATCTCTCCTTGATGCGTCGAAGAGGAATCTCTCCGCTTCGTTGACCTCAATCAATGCTGTTCTGTTTCACCACCTTGCTCCAGCCGCCGCTAGAGTCTCCGATCTAGCTGTAATTGGATCTTCCGATGTCAAGCCTGGGTTTTTATCTGGTGTTAAAGCGAGGGAGTTTCATTTTGAATCTGGGCCTTTGGAGTTTAGAGCTTCGATGGTTTCTTCTGCTGGGTTTGCTATATCTGAGAGTAGCGAGAGAAGGGTCGGAGATTCGGAGAGTGATGGGCTTGCGATATCTGAGCTTGGAATATCTCCGGAGATTGTTAAAGCTTTGAGTAGTAAGGGTATTGAGAAACTCTTTCCTATTCAGGTATGTTGTGAGATCAAAGGGTTTATAAATTATGCAGCTTTCGTGTTTTTGAATTATGGGTAGCTGAGATTTTGTGTTTGTGGCTTGAGTAGAAAGCTGTGTTGGAGCCAGCTATGGAGGGTCGAGATATGATTGGTCGTGCTAGGACTGGAACGGGAAAGACACTTGCTTTTGGGATTCCAATCATTGACAAAATCATCAAATACAACGCTAAACATGGGTTTGTGTTTATAGAGTCACTAATATGATCATTTGAGGTTCCGAGATTTACGTTTTCTGGTTGGTTAACTGATTTTTTTGGGCTTTTATGTGGTCTTTGATGTGATAGACGAGGGAGGAATCCGCTTTGCTTGGTTTTGGCACCGACAAGGGAGCTTGCTCGCCAGGTCGAGAAGGAGTTTAGGGAATCTGCTCCGAGCTTGGATACTATTTGTCTTTATGGAGGTACACCGATTGGACAGCAAATGAGGCAGCTTGACTATGGTGTTGATGTGGCGGTTGGAACTCCTGGTCGTGTTATTGATCTGATGAAAAGGGGAGCTTTGAATCTGTCAGAGGTTCAGTTTGTGGTTCTGGATGAAGCTGATCAGATGCTTCAAGTTGGATTTGCCGAGGATGTTGAAATAATATTGGAAAAGTTGCCTGAGAAACGTCAGAGTATGATGTTTTCTGCTACAATGCCGAGTTGGATCAGATCTCTCACCAAGAAGTACCTGAATAATCCTTTGACAATTGATCTTGTGAGTAGTCTCGTACCTGATTGTGTTTATATCTAAAACTGCTCACAATTCATAAAGATTGATCTTGGATTTAGCAGAGTTGTTGAAGAGGTGACGTTTATGTGAAATATGTGCTTCTGTGTTTTCGTTTGCCTAACTGTGATGTGTTATTCAGGTTGGAGATTCTGATCAGAAACTAGCAGATGGAATTACGACGTATTCTATCCTAGCAGATTCTTATGGAAGAGCATCCATTATTGGTCCTCTTGTAACAGTATGCTTTCTTTTGATATGAGATCAATTTTGTATTTTCCTTTTTATTTGTGTTTTATTCCTTTTTGTCAGTCGTGTATGGGAAGAGTTTATAATGAAATTTCTTTTGCAGGAGCATGCTAAAGGAGGAAAATGCATTGTTTTTACACAAACAAAACGAGATGCTGATCGCCTTTCATATGCATTGGCGAGAAGCTTCAAATGCGAAGCTTTACACGGTGATATATCCCAGAGTCAGAGGGAAAGAACGCTTGCTGGTTTCCGAGATGGGCATTTTAATATTCTTGTTGCAACTGATGTTGCTGCCCGTGGACTTGATGTGCCTAATGTTGATTTGGTGAGTGAAAAGTACACTTTTCATACTCTAAACAAGGTTTGGTTCTCATCTAACTAAACCTATCTATCCGTGTTGTGATTGTAATTAGATCATTCACTATGAGCTTCCTAATAACACGGAGACATTTGTTCATCGAACCGGGCGAACGGGTCGTGCTGGAAAGAAAGGAAGTGCTATTCTCATCTACAGTCAAGATCAATCCAGGGCTGTAAAAATAATTGAGAGAGAAGTTGGGAGCCGATTCACCGAGGTTATAGATAATCTGACTTTCTTTTTACCTATTTGTTTCTTTCCCTGAATGCATGGAGTAAATGTTTGTATCCATTGGGTTTTGAATTCAGCTCCCTAGCATTGCTGTGGAACGTGGAAGCGCAAGCATGTTTGAAGGAATAGGTTCTCGATCCGGTGGGTCCTTTGGAGGAGGCATGAGGGATCGCGGTTCAAGCTTTGGTGGTCGTTCAGGCGGCGGCTATGGTGGCAGCAGTGGTGGCTATGGTGGTGGCCGTTCAGGCGGATCAAGCAACCGTTATTCTGGTGATTCTGACCGTTCTGGTTTCGGGAGCTTCGGTATGCGTTCTCCTGAAGGATATGGTTCAGATCGTTCTTCTCAGTCAGGTGGAAGGAGCAGTTTTGGTGGTGGTCGTTCAGGTGATTATGGCCGTTCAAGCGGATCATCAAACAACCGTTCCTCTGGTTTTGGTGACTTTGGCTCTGACCGTTCTTCTCAGTCAGGCGGAAGGAGCAGCTTTGGTGGGTTTGGCTCAAACGATGGGAAAAGATCATACTGATAAGTGTTTTTACCCGAACCGGCAATAATTTGTTTGACCTTAGGAGGAGGATTCGGTGAGTGGCTCGAGTAGATTAGTTACTACGGCGGATACGAAGGAGTCAAGTTATATATATAAAAATCTGTAGCTATGTAAAACAAACAAATACTTTTTGAAGTTATGTTATCATTATTATTTTAATATATGAGTTGATTGATTATCTTCTTCTTTGCATAATTTGATTGAATGGCATGTCTTGATATATGTATTCTTTCTATTTTGGATATGGGGTTCCACACAAACAGAAATACAGAATTTTTGGAAATACCAATGAACATCTACATATACATTTTTACAGGGGATTTTTGCAAAAAGTCTTTTGGATCCGGGTTTTACCCGGGTTTAACTCTATTCGGATCTAGAATAAGAAATTTAAGGAAGTTTGTAATAAAAGAAATCGCCGATATTAATGACTACAATTATGATTTCGAATCTTTACAACATCTTAACTAATTACTCCTAGATACCATATCTAGATAACTTTAATAAGGAGAAAAAAAACGACATTTATTCTTAAATTACCAAATATTTTCTGTTTCCTTAACTTCTTCCGCAATTGGATTATGAAAATCGAAAATTAAATAAAAGATATTGCGTTCCAAAAATCTATCTCAATAATGTCGATCCTTTATTTCTAAAATCTCTTCTTTAGGCTGTGATCCCAACTAATTACTTCCACATACCTTTTCCGAGACTTATTCTCTCCAAATCTGCAAACAAACGATTATTTAGAAACTAATTTATGACTCTTCAAAATCAAAACGGTAGCATATTCTTAAACACAAAATGATTTCATAGATTTGATTCCATATTAGTTACGGTATCAAATATATTATGCTTGGCGTTCAAGAGATTTGTGACCTAATTTATGAGCCTATAAATACTATAAAGTTTGACGTCTCAAAACATCATCAAACACACAAAAGCAAGAATCTGAAAAAACCAGCAAACACACCTTTTCTATATAACAATCTCACAATACAAAAGCTCACCACATTTACGATGCCGAGAGGGAGATGTCTGGAAAAGTCGTGTCACTCTGGTATTTTCAAGTTCCATTTGTGCAACAGTTGTGTTAATAGCATCTATAATCTCCATCTTCTCCGCACCAATAGCTTCATCCATTGGAGTCCGCTCACACCTACAATTTTCAAGCTTCTAATAGTTCAGCTTAGTTCCTCTAATAGAGTGGGAATAAAGATTCAAAAGACTTAGATGGCTCCAGCCAAGATCAATCTCTTCACCAACTGTAAGTAGCTTTCTACTTAGTTTAAACCGAATAAACAAAACATCTTCAAGCAAGGAAATGAGTGATGGTTACCTCGACATGGCCATTCAAACATGCCCAATGTAGAGGAGCATTGTTCTCATCGTTAAGAGCATTAATATCCTGCTGACCATAACAAAGCCACAATAATCTCTCGATAGAAGACCAGAAATTATATCGTCAAGGCATAAAAATTAGCAAGGGTTGTTGTTTTTTACCACTCCTTCACTGATAAGATACTCCACTACAGTTATACGCCGCAACCATATGCAGCTTGTGAAGACAAGTAAAAGATAAAAAGAAACAATGTTCACAGAGTTAACCATACATTTCAAACTCCTTAATCTGAGTATCCGAATATACAAGGATAAGAGTAAGAACACCAACATATGTTACTAAACCAGAAAACAGTAACCAATATTTCACGAGATGAAATGAGCCAAATGAACCCTTTTTAGGCATCATTTATTCCAAATTTTCCTATACATTGCAGGTGTCTGAGCAAGAGTTTAAGAATCTTATCTATTAACTGGAAAAATTGGAACTTTAGAACAAAAAGAGAATGTAGAAGAAACCTGTTCGGCCTTGTGAATCAAGAGAGTCAAGAGAGACACCATAAGAGGCCAATGATCTGAGATCATCAGTATCACTGTATCTAGCAGCCTATCATTCAAAAAACAAAAATTTAACCCACCTAATTAAAACTGATACAAGTGAACACCATGTTACAAAATCTATGCTCGATTTCACATTAAACCAAACATGCACTCACAATTCTGCATCAAGCAATAAGCATAAAGAAAGAACACACAAGCTTTTTTGTTCACCCTGAGTTCAGCTCTCGATGTGAGAAGCCTACATCTCAGGAGAGGGGAGACGGTCCCTCAACCAAGCCACTTTTTATCAATGAGATTACAAGTGTACTCTTCAAGTAGATTGTGCTCACATCTCTCTCTATCTCTCTGTTATAAACATAACCCTAGATACATGAAGAATAAAGGAAGAACAAGAGAAGAGAAGAGAAGAATAAACCAAAGAAGAACTCTCTCACCAAGCTCTCTCTTTCTATCTCTTTGTCTCTTTGGAGCCGCAGGAAGGAGACACGACTCAACTCTTCTTGTGTCATATCAGTTCTCTGTTATATCAAAGTCACATTGTTGTGAAATGTAGTTGGGCCTAAAACAATTTAGTCCAGCCCAACCTGCAACTCTAAGCCCACATGTCTAAAACCATAATAATCGTATCTTACACACCAAAAAGTGGGGGACATGAATCGATTGGAGGAGAATTTATAATATTTAAATTCTATAAAACAATTTATAGTATTAATAATATTTGAACTCTATAACAACTAAATATATATATATATATATATATATATACTATTTTAAGTAAACTTTGAAATTGATTTGAATTATATGGTTTTAAATAAAAATATTATTAAAATGACAAAATAATGTTTTATTTCACGGGACAAGGTTATATGGTGGAACGCGTTTGGTTAGATTATTAATACGGGACGGTATACTACGGATAAAATCTTAGAACTAACAATCAAAATACATTTATACAATCGTAAACATTGAACAAAACAAATAATATTAACAAAACAAATACAACTTACAATTTAAAATTTTTAGTTATAAAAAAACGAACCGCGGTGTACCACGGGTCAATCCCTAAAATGCAAAATATTATAATAAAATGCAAACAACAAAATAAATTCATATTCAAATCCACTATATGTCGTTGATTAATGAAATTAACTATATGTTTTCGTTTTTATATTTTAAAAATTAAAACCTAAAACATACTAGGTGTTGTACACTATAATATATATATATATATATTATTTATATAAATATTTAAATTAAACAAAACAATATGTTATATATGTAGATAATCTTTTTAAAAAATTAAATTTTTTTATTTTTATTTAATAAAAATATAGGCTCGCGGTGTACCGCGGGTTAACATCTAGTTAATAAAATGGAAATACTGTCTCTTTTTTCTCATCTATTAACTTTTTTATATCAACAATAGTTATTGTTAGTAACTAGGGGAGATCTCTATACTATTAAAAGAGAAGTACAAATGTAAATGGGTCGGGTCAAAATCAGAAAATTGACCCGAAATTCTGAAATCGGATTTTTGAAATTTTTTTGGAATATAAATTCGAATTAATAATGAAAAATCGAACTAAAATCAAATGTTTATGGAAATCAAATAAAATTTGATTGTACTTATGGTAACTAATTATAAAATCATATTCCGAACAATATTATACATTAATTATGTATAATATATTTGTTCATATACTTTTGGAACTAATTCCATAACAATTAACGTTTTTCTCATTAATTTTGCTTATTTTAGACAGTTATCATTAATTAAAAGATATCTTACTTGTTTTTAGAGATTTCTAAAAAATTTATCACAACTAACCCATCTATTTTATAAATTAAATAAATAGATATTTTTATTTTGGTCGTGTAAATTAAATAGATATGAAATCTATGTAACTAATTTTAATTTAATTAGATTAAATCGAAATTATAGTATTTTCATACAATCATACTTATAGTTTACCAAAGAAGTTTAATTTTCAAATTATAAAGATTTCTTGAATATGATTTTTAGAATTATTCAACAAAATGATAAATATTTATTAAATTTTTTGAATCATGAAAAATATTAATTATTTTTAATCATTATATTTCACCTTTCAATCTCTCATCTAACAAATAAGATACATATTCTATAATTCCTATGTCCAAACTCCATTGAGTTGTATGACTAAATAATATTTCCATTAGAGCTGTCAAAACGAGTTCATTTATCCCGTTAAGCCTGTTTTGCAATAGGCAAAATATAGTTTGGCATATAGTTAGTCTGTCTCCATGACCCACGGGTAGCATATATGAAACACAACCCCGTCGCGCGAATGTATGCTGATTTGCGGAGTTATCCGTGGATTTTGTTTAAATAATTTTAGAGTAACCAAAATTTAAAATTCTACTAAAATAAATAAATTAAAATGTTTTTAGAGAAAATAATCTTATATATCATTATATTTATAAATATTATAATTTCATTTATTAAAAGTTTTTTAAACTACCACATGTTAAATAAATTATATTTTTATCAATAAATACTATCATGCGGGTTGATCCGCCAAACCCCGGACGAAAACCGATGACCCACTGCGAATCAATCCATGTGGCCCGCTTATTTGCGGGTTTAATATATTTTCCCAAATCTAGCCTATAGTGAGATGATTTGGGCTCGACCCACGGTTTTTGACATATTTTGACTGCTTTAATTCCCATGATTCGTCTAATTTTTGAATTCTAAAACACAAAATTCCATTTTGTAAATCATAATTAATACAATTGGTTTAATTATAAACAATTTAATATTTTCTTTACAATTTGTTATTAGGAATATTTATAAGTACATTACACGATTCGTTCTACTAAAAACACGCACAATATTAAAATCAACGTATGTAAATCAATATTCTCTCGCGGTGGACCACTGGTCCGATCCTAGTTGTCTTTATATATAGGCTAAACACGTAGAAATTTTGCTTGAGTGAAGAACAAACAATTTCCCCAAACGTAAGAGTTTATTCCGTGACACATAAGCATAAACCCTAAAGTTAACTATGGCAATGGAGCCGAAGAAGAAGAACTTGATTAGTTCCGACAACGATACAGAGTGGTCGCCGGTGCTTGCCCCCGACCTGATTCGATCGATCTTAGAACGCTTGAACTTTGTAGAGTTTCATCGAGCCAGGTCCATCTCTTCAGATTGGTATTCCACAGCCGAATTATGCTACAGCCAAAATCCAACTCCATGGCTCATTCTCTTTTCAAACTATAGCCATATTTCGTGTAAGTTGTTTGATCCTCTCCATGACAAAACCTACGTAATAAGAGACCTAGGGTTTGATTTCCATAGGAGTCGTTGTTTGGCTACTTCTGGTAGCTGGTTCTTGATGTTAGATCATAGAACCGATTTTTATCTTTTGAATCTATTTACTCGAGAGAGGATTCGTCTTCCGACTTTGGAAGCAATGGATGGACGGCAGATGAAGTTTGAGAGGGTTGGTGAGTCTGATTTCTTGAAGACATTCACTTATCAAGGAGGCTATGGAAGTTATTCTTCTGGTGAAAGCACCAAAGTTATAATAGAGAATGCGGTTTTGTGGGTCGATGAAAGAAGCCGAGATTACTTAGTTGTGTGGAGCCTTGAGTGCTTCTTTGCATATCATAAGAAAGGAGATAATAACAACAGCTGGAAAGTGTTTCAATTAAAGAAGAACCAAGGCTGCTCCGATATGGTGTTTAGAGAAAGCAAGCTTTACGTGCTTAGTCCAAGTCTAAACATTACTGTTTTAGATTTCTCTAGTTGTGATTCTCCTAATGAATGTGCAAGTTTCACAACTCCGGATGGTCTCACATTATTTCCACTATCTTGTTTCGGCCATCTTGTTATAACTTTGTCCGGAGAGGTTTTGATGATCAAACCAAGCCGATTTGGGATACCTTTCTTTGATGTTTACAAGATGGATCCAAAATCATCAAAATGGAGAGAAATATATTCTTTAGGGAACGAAGCATTGCTTTTGGATCTAGGTACAACGATCGCAGCCAAAGATTGTTTTGGGGAAAACAGCTTATATGTTAGTAATCATAAGCCTCATAGATACAATGGGAGTAGTATATGCAATAAAAGCAGTAGTTACGTTTACGATTTTCTTAGGAGGTTGGTTGTCCAACGTTTCAACACCTTGCAGATTTATCGCCAGTGCCTTTCAAGGATTCTCGTTGGTTTTTCCCAACTTTTTGTGGCAAATCGTTGCTCTAAAGCTATCTAGTTTTGTGTTTTTGGTAAGGATTATTTCTCTTACATTTTGCTACGTTTTATGATTAGGGTATAAACTAAACGAAAATGGTAATGGCTTAACTTGTTCCTGAAGAATATCACAAGCTAATGCTTTTGTGGTATAATTTCATAACAGTTTGGTGATCGGAGACAACATCAAATAATAAGACCTCCAAAATTTTCTTTTTCATAATTCATGAGTTTAAGTAGTTTTAAATTTATAACCCTCCTGATCCAGTAGACCACAGTAATCGGAATAAACATAAAGAGATTCAACAAATGCTAATAATTAACTCGAGATCATGCAATAGTGACAAAATATAAACCACTAAGGCACTATCAGACTGTCAGATGCTTGTCCCCGACTTTATTCGATCGGTCTTCGAACGTTTGAACTTTGCTGAGTTTCATCAAACTAGGTCCATTTCTTTAGATTGGTATTCCACTGCTGAATTATGCTACAGACAAAACCCAACTCCATGGCTCATTCTCTTTTCAAACTATAGCCAATTAGCCATATATCGTGTAAGTTGTTTGATCCTCGTGATGACAAAACATATGTGGTAAAAGATCTAGGGTTTCATTACCATAGGAGTCGTTGTTAGACCATAGAATTGACTTTATCTTTTGAATCTTTTTACTCGAGAGAGGATTCGTCTTCCGAGTCTGGAAGATATCGATGGATCGCAGATGAGGTTTGAGAGTTTGAGAGGACCGGTGAGTCTGACTTCTTGCCTTCTTGGTGACCTTCGGTTATAGAAGTTATGTATCTTATTCTTCGGGTAAAAGCAGCAAAGCTGGAATAAAGAATGCAGTTTTGTGGGTAGATGAAAAGAGCAGAGATTACATAGTTGTGTGGAATTTTGACTGCTTCTTTGCATATCACAAGAAAAGTTATTGTAGCAATAGTTGGAAAGTGTTTCAACTTTTTAACAGTCAAGGTTGCGTCAAAATGGTGTTAAAAGAAAGCAAGCTTTACGTGCTTAGTCTAATTCGAGAAATCACTGTTTACGAGTTTTGTGGTGGTGATTCTCCAAATGAATGTGCAAGTTTCGTATCTCCGGATCGTCCTAAAGACCATTACAATTATTATTATAATTATTATAATGTTACTCTTGTGGTGGGTAAAAATACCCAGCCCAGCCCGAACCCCAAATAAGCCTTCCCACCAAAAACCCGAATTTCAAAAACCCAATGGGTTTCGGGTTCTGATGGGTAAACCCGAAAAAAAACCCGAGCGAGTCTGGGTAATCTGTGAGTATCCAGTTTATATTGATTTTTTTTTCTCTCTTTTCTTGGATTCATAATTATAAATATTTGGATTTTGTATGTATTTGTATTTTATTCGTTTTAATTTATTAATTATAATACAAAGACATATATTAATTCTTCTAATACAACATTTGAAACTATAAGTGAATTCAATTCATTCAAAAAAAAAGTGAATTCAATTTATTAATCTTTATAAATTAAATTAGATAAACATTCTTTAAATTAGTTTCTACGTCAAAATCAGGTACAAAATTAGCAAACGTCAAAGAGATGTGATCCACTTCTTTTATAAAAATCATACTTAAATTTGACTCGTCTTTATGAACCCAGTATCTGGAAAATCAGGTTTTGAAAACCACCCACGAAACCCGTAGAGATACAAAGTAAAAAAACAAAACTAAGATTCCCAACAATGGAAGAACATATATTCTCAGAGAAGGAGATAAACTTGATACAGTATTTCAATCAACTTGGGAATTAGGGTTAGAATTAGGATGAGACGTAAAAAAAAAAAAACATGGATGTAAACGACGTCGGTTTAGTACAGTCTTTAAAAAACCCGTGGGTACCCATAACCCGATAGGGTAAACCCGTATAAGATTCTATTTATTCGGGTATCCAGCCTGTTTTAAACCCGCATTTTTTTAATATAAAAAGCAGATCTATGAGCTAATTATTTGACGTGGGTTTCAGGTACCCAGCGGGCTAAAGCCCAGAATTAACATCCCTAAAATTTCATATTTAGAGATCCAAAGTTTGGTTTTAACAATTTAAAGATCCATAGATCGATTACAAAATACTATTTGTAGCCATTAGATGATTTTCTCGAATCAAAAAACTTGAATTGTGCTAATTATTTTATAATTTAATATGATAATTGGATAGAAGAAGACATTAAAAGTAAAATTTGTAAATAAAATCCACTTAGGAAAAGGAAACCGACTACTTCCGGTGTAAATAAATTGTTTCTTGTTAGACAAGATTGGTTCACAGGGCAAACGTGAAAGGAATAAAAAGTTCCAAAGCAAAAACAAAACAAAGCCCTAATTTGGTAAGCCTTCAAGAGGTCCGAGTAGCTTAATTTCTTCGTTCCGATCATATGATGATGTCCGATCTTCCCCGCGATTTGGTAGAAGAAATACTCTCTAGGATTCCGGCCACATCTGTGAAACGATTACGATCTACTTGCAAACTATGGAACACTTTATTCAACAACCGAAAATTCACTGAGAAGAACTTTCGTAAAGCTCCAAAGGAGTCTATGGTTCTCATGTTGAAGGAGTGTAGGGTTCGCTCAATGAGCGTCAATCTCAACGTTGCTCCTCCATCTTTAGAGTTTAAAGGTGCACTTGGCCTGAAGGATTCTCATTCTAATACCGAACAAGTCAATATAACCAAAGTTTCTCACTGTGATGGTTTGTTGTTATGCACCACCGGAGACGATAGACTTGTGGTTTGGAATCCGTGTTTGGGGGAAACCAGGTGGATCCAACACAAAACTGGTTACGAGAGATACTCTAGGTTTTCTTTAGGGTATGAAAACAACAAATCTTGCCGTAGCTACAAAATCTTGGGATGTTGGGACCGTATTTACGATTACAAACTAAACGGCCGAGGTTTAAGGTTTGAAATCTATGACATTAACTCTGATTCATGGAAAGTTCTTGATGACCTCGCTCATGACCTCATCCTACCGGTAAATTGCGTGTCTTTAAAGGGAAACACTTACTGGTTTGGTTCTTTTGTAAACAACTTATTACTTAGTTTTGATTTTACAACTGAGAGGATTAAACATTTTTGTCTTCCGCCATCTCGGGATCATGGTTGTATCGCTCTATCAGTTGTTGGAGAAGAACGACTATCAGTGTTACAACCGATTGAGAGATCAAAGATGGAGATATTTGTTACCAATAAAGTTGATAGTGAAGCGGCTTTGTTGTGGAGCAAATCCTTTACAGTGGATTTACCCATTGGGCTTAGTTTTCCTGAGGTTTTCGCGAGTCTTTTAATTGACGAGGAGAAGAAAGTTGCCTTGTGTTGTAATTTAGCTCTGAAGACCGGCAGGAACTTGGTATACACTATTGGAGAGGACAGTGAATATTACTCAGAAATCCCTTATGTAGAATCTACAAACGAGCCGTGGTGGATAGCTGCAGAAGACAAACCATGTTGGTTGCCATTTATTTTCAGTTATGTTCCAAGTTTGGTTCAAATCTTGTAAGATAGATAGAGAGGCAAAACAAGAAAAGAAACTTAAATATAAGAAACATTTATTTTCTCTGTTTGAATAATTCAATGAATATTTTTGTTGGTAGTTTATGATTCATCTTTTCTTCCTGTTGTATAGTTTTGGTTTGGATTTGATTTGTCTTTTAAGCGAAAATAAAAATTGTCAACTGCTAGGAACCAAGACGCCATGGTTTCTTTGATGAGTAAGTTGGACTTGGACCACACCTAAGCCACAGATATACTAACGAGACACTAAGCGAAGCAGCAAGCTTGACTCGAGTCATTGCTGTTGCCAGCGAACTTTTGGCCGTATCAGCTTGTTCCGTTCTTCACTGTCTTCAGCCTTTCCCTTTGAGAGCCTCCTCTGGGCTAGACTACAAAAGACAATGACAATCATCTTGTTGTAACTCTGTCTTGAGAGGTTTTGATCCTCGCAAGTGTAATCAAAAACCCGAGGATATGCTTCTACTTCGACGTCTACAAGATGGATTCAAAATCATCAAACAGGAGGAAAATCATTTCTATTGCCAACGAAGCATTATTTTAGTAATTATCAGTTTCATATATACAACGAGATTCATCTATATTCAAACCGAGAAGGTTTGTCCAATGGTTTCAACAGTTCGCAGCAACAGTTCTCGGTAGATACATCAAAGAAACTATAAGACACGAAAATTCCTACACAAATACGTCTCTGTTTTGGAACAGAGGATTTTTTGAAACTTTTTATTATAACTACTTAATCAAAACATAAATTAAAAGTTTTTACGCATAAACTTGCGGATGGGTTTGTCTTTGTTTCGTGTGCTACAAGTCTTTTAGTCAAATTGTAGACGAATTTTCCGTTTTCTTGTATACATTGATGCTAGAGTTCCGTAATTGCTATAAATAGATAGCAGCAGTTTAGGAGTTACAAAATGAAAAAACAAAACAAAACAAAACCGCTTTGATTAATCAATTTCCATTGTTCATTTTCGATCTGCACAATGATGATGAGTCGCTGTGGAGCCAAGGCAATGGCAACTGCTGTGTCTCACAGCCATCTTTTGAACCCTAGGGTTCCTCTCGTGGCGGAAAATGTTAGGGTTCCGATGATGGGAGTCGTGAGAGATTTCAGCAAGATGACATTTGAGAAGAAGAAAACGACGGAGGAGAAAGAATCTAACGGTGGCAAGGCTGATCAAGGTAACAAAGGGGAGCAATTAATCGTTAGTTATTGGGGTGTGAAGCCGATGAAGATCACCAAAGAAGATGGAACTGAATGGAAATGGAGTTGCTTCCGGGTACATTACATATTATTATAAATCTTTGGTATTATTGGAACTCTTGGTCGATTTATATGTATGATTTGAATTTTTGTGTGGAATAATGGTAGCCATGGGAGACTTATAAATCAGATCTGACGATAGATTTGAAGAAGCATCATGTTCCATCGACATTATCGGACAAATTAGCTTATTGGACCGTTAAATCTCTTCGATGGCCTACCGATGTTTTCTTCCAGGTAACAATCTTAGGTTTCTATGATTTTATCGTTTCAAATGTTTTGTATGTTTGGACTAATCTTGCCTTCGATTTAACCGTAGAGGCGGTACGGATGCAGAGCAATGATGCTAGAAACGGTTGCAGCGGTTCCAGGAATGGTTGGAGGGATGTTAGTCCACTGCAAATCGCTTCGACGGTTTGAACAAAGCGGTGGTTGGATCAAAGCCCTACTTGAAGAAGCAGAGAACGAGAGAATGCATTTAATGACATTCATGGAAGTCGCGAAACCCAATTGGTACGAACGAGCTCTTGTGATTGCCGTTCAAGGCGTTTTTTTCAACGCTTATTTCCTCGGATACCTAATCTCTCCCAAATTTGCTCATCGTATGGTTGGATACCTTGAGGAAGAAGCAATCCACTCTTACACTGAGTTTCTTAAAGAACTCGATAACGGTAACATCGAAAACGTTCCTGCACCGGCTATTGCCATTGATTACTGGAGGCTTGAAGCAGATGCGACGCTTCGTGATGTCGTCATGGTGGTCCGTGCTGATGAAGCGCATCACCGTGACGTTAACCATTATGCATCCGTAAGTAGTGTGAATTATATTATATGAAAAAATTACTTATGTTTAAAAGATGATTAGATTTGTTTTAATGGTTTTTATAAAATTGTAGGATATTCACTACCAAGGTCGTGAGCTGAAAGAAGCTCCAGCTCCCATCGGATATCATTGAATCTGAAAAGCTTCTAGCTTTTGTTTTGTCGCTTTGATACGGTCTAGTTTTGTTTTCTTTGTTTCTAAATGAGCTTTTAATGGCTTTGTTAAAAAATTAGTGGGCCAAAGAGTAAAGCTTATTTGTGCTTAATTGCTTTCTTTTTGCTTCATAAAACAGTGTTTTGTTTTCATTCTCCTCATAAATCGGTGTTTACATGATATGTTTATGTTACATGTATACATCTAGGCAAGATAGATGTAATACATCATTCTTTTTACATTGATGATCCGAGTCTAGCCTAACTACTCTGATGGATAAGCAAACTGCAAACCATTTGTTTCTCCGCTATTCAACTGTGTGACAAAGAAATAGTTTACTTTCTAAGATCCTATGTTGGACTTTTTAGGATCCTAATCCATTACATTAGATGAACGATAGCAACGACTCTCATCCCAAAAAATCAAAATCCAGCGTGAAATTGATCTTACTGCGAATTTTAGGCCTGGGCTTTCGGTTCGGTTGGGTCCATTCAGTTTCAGTTCTTTCGGTTCTAAAATTTAGTATCCATTCGGATATTTTGAAATTTCGGTTCGGTTTCGATTCGGTTCTGGTTCTTTCGGTTTAAAATTTAGTATCCATTCGGTTATTTTGCTTATGACATTTTTTGGATATTTCGGTTATTTTTGAGTATTTTCAGATATTTTAGGATATATTTTGGTTATTTTCGAGTACATTTACTATGTTTATATATTTTCAAGTATTTTTTATTATTTGGTCTATAAATAACTAATTATTTTGAAAATATAATTGTATTTTAGATGTTTCGGTTATCCGAAATATTTCGGTTCGGTACCGAGTTGGTTACGGTTATAAAATTTAATATCTATTCGGTAATTTTTAAATTTTTGATTCGGTTCGATTCGGTACATTCGGTTCGGCTTATTTGTCCAGACCTAGCAAATTTGATATGCGATCAAGCCACATCAGTTTTGGACTGGATCTTGAATCGTTTAAAATAACCATGTATATGTCCATTAAACCCCGCTGAAAATGAAGTAGGCTTGAATCCATCATATGTAAGTTTTAGGAACCTCTAGTGATCTAAGAAAGTTGTGAATGAAGAAGTCCCATATCAAAACAAAGCCTTTGCACAATCATTCACATGATATCAAAAATTTGCACATGAGAAAAAAGCTATAACATATAGTATACATAAACACAGGAAAATATGAAATTGAAAATAGCTTTCTTTCTTCTTTGTTATATAATGTAAATCGAATGAATTTGTTAGAAAGAATCGAACAAAATTGACAAGAAATTTTAATTAGGACTAATTTTGTCTTAGTTGAAACAGAATATTAGCCAAACTGGGAATAAATAGAAAATTGGCATTTAAAAAAAAGCCCAAAAATACTAAAACACCACAACGCCCTAATAATACCCACACGATATCATTAAATTCGACCAATAAGAATTTAGCTCTTGGCCACCACGCAAGTATCTTCCATCTTGCTCTCCAAGAAAAATCTACACCGCCTTTGAATTTACATAAACACCCTCAGTCAAAGAAAAGTCATACACAAAGTCTCTCTCATGACCTCAAGGGTAACACAGTCATCTAAATATAAACCACACAAGAAACTGTTATACTTTTGTTACACGTGTCATAATCTCCTTACAAATACGTCAAGAGTTTCGATCATCAACCGTTCGTTTTCTTAGTATATAATCCTTCCTCGAGACCTGCGTGTGAAGCGTATAAGACGACAAAGTAACCAAACAGAAAAAAAAAAGATTTCTCCTACTATTTTCCTAAATTCTTGGATTTGATTTTAGATTTCGATCTTTGAACAATGATGATGACTCGCGGTGGAGCCAAGGCGGCGAAATCTCTGTTAACGGCGGCTAAACCACGTTTGTTCTCGACGATCCGTACGATTTCGTCTCACGAAGCGTTATCAGCAAGCCATCTCTTGAAGCCTGATGTTGCATCGACTTGGATCTGGACTAGAGCTCCGACGATTGGAGGTATGAGATTCGCTAGCACGATTACTTTGGGAGAGAAAACTCCGACGAAGGAAGAGGACGCGAATCAGAAGAAAACAGAGAAGGAATCCACCGGTGGAGACGCCGCCGGAGGTAATAACAAAGGAGAGAAAGGAATCGCTAGCTATTGGGGTGTTGAACCTAATAAGATTACTAAAGAAGATGGTTCTGAATGGAAGTGGAATTGTTTCAGGGTACGTTATTGATAGATTTCGTATATAGTGTAGTGTTGTTCTTCTTTGGATCTTTGAGTATATTTTGTGTGGTTTTTGCAGCCATGGGAGACTTATAATGCTGATCTGACTATAGATCTGAAGAAACATCATGTTCCTACGACGTTTCTTGATAGATTAGCTTATTGGACTGTTAAATCTCTTCGTTGGCCTACTGATTTGTTCTTCCAGGTACACTTCTTCTTCCTCCATGGAATATTTCTTACATTTTTGCTAATTTTCTGAAATGGAAAACATACAAATCTGATTTCGTCATTGATTACGTATAACCTTAAATATTTTATTTCATTCTTTTTATAGCAACTAGTCAATATGTTATTTGATTTTTGGGAATTTTGTATATTATATTGATCACTTCGTTAGTTGTTAGGATAATTGCAATTCTTGTTGCAATGGATTGTTGGTTTATTGTTGGTTTGATTGTGACATTGTGAATTATTGTTCAAAACAGAGGAGATATGGTTGTCGAGCTATGATGCTTGAGACTGTAGCAGCAGTACCTGGAATGGTTGGAGGAATGTTACTACACTGCAAATCGCTTCGACGTTTTGAGCAAAGTGGAGGATGGATTAAGGCTCTTCTTGAGGAAGCGGAGAATGAGAGAATGCATCTTATGACATTCATGGAAGTTGCGAAACCGAAATGGTACGAGAGAGCGCTTGTGATCACTGTGCAAGGAGTTTTCTTCAACGCGTATTTCCTTGGTTACCTAATCTCTCCCAAGTTTGCTCACCGTATGGTTGGATACCTTGAAGAAGAAGCAATCCATTCTTACACTGAGTTTCTCAAGGAACTTGACAAAGGTAACATTGAGAATGTTCCTGCTCCGGCTATTGCTATTGATTACTGGAGGCTTCCTGCTGATGCAACACTCCGTGATGTTGTGATTGTTGTTCGTGCTGACGAGGCTCATCACCGTGATGTCAACCATTTTGCTTCTGTAAGTGTATTTTCTTTTTCTCTATCAATGAAAGGAGACCAACTTTTTAACCTTGTGACTGATGATCATTTGTCAATTATGTGACTTTGCAGGATATTCATTACCAAGGTCGTGAACTAAAGGAAGCTCCAGCTCCAATTGGGTATCATTGATTTGATTAAAAGAAGAGCTTTTTCTCAAAAGTTTAAAACTTTGTTCTAAAGAATTTGAGTTCTTTTCACTTGTATATACATCATCATCAGCTCTACTTGAGCCAAACTTGGATTCGGCTTTCTTTGGATGTTAAAATTTGCTACGAATGTTCTGTTTTTTTTTTATTGAAAGTGGTATGGGCTTTTGGGCTTTAATATTGCTATTTTTATGGCCTGCTAATTTACTAGTATAATTTTATTTGTTTTGTAACGTTTACAAGTAGAGCAATAGTTTATAGAAGCTGTTACAACTTCCAATTATCTTGTAAGGAAACCATTGATATCATAATTTATTAAATTTTATATGGTAATAAATTTCTTATTCAGGTTTTTAAATAATTTTTCTCCATCTATTAAATATTATTGACAATTATAAATTTTCTTTTCTTCATTACAAAGAAAAAAGAGAACGCAATGGATGTGGATCCTTTATTTATGGCATGGGTCTTTATTTTCTTTCCGGGCCACAAAGCTTTCAAATATAACGCAAAAAAGAAAAGAAATTAAAAATCACTAGAATAAAACAATCATTTGTCATAGAAAAAAATCTTAAAAACAATATTATAATTTGGGTGATTATGTGTACATAACCACTTTCTTTCAAACGTATCAGAGACTCTCTCTTATGCCACCAAATTAAATTGTATAGTTGTGTCCATTATAAAAATTGGGTATCTCTATCATGCCTATTCTTTTCAATCTATCATGGCAAGTTTAGGTCAAAGTAATAGCAAATCGCAATTACCAAAAACCTTAATTATTATTTCTTTCCATTTTATATATCAGCAAAATGGTTTAGCATAAGCAAAAAGGCTTCCACATATTACCTCATCTCTCATCAATTATTAAAACCGCAGATAATAAATTATATGTCACACTAAATGTTGGAATAAAATATTTTGACTTTTCTTTATCTAAATATATCAAACTATATAGATAAATAAAGAAATAAACAAATACGTCCTAATCAGTTGCCTAGCCTTGTATCAACTGTTTCTAATATAAAGTAATGTTTTAAATTACAACGATTAATCTAGTCTCATAGTATTAAAAAACATTATAATTTGTGGCAATGTGTACTTTCTTTCCTGCATTTTCTAGATTTGAAATGATAATGATTATAATAATGAAGAAACAGTCATGGAGCCATGTTCGCTGTATATTATTTTAAAGACTATATAATATATCCAATAAACTATTATCATACGATGCAATACCTATATTATATGGTTTTCAATATAAAATAATTAAAGCTCGCAATTTTCGATATGCCTTAGTGCGTTAATGAAGGGAATTTTTTAGAGAAATTGTTAAAAATGCCCTTTTTTCAATATCTTTTTTAAAAATGCCTTTTTTGAGAGTTTATTTTTAAGTTTGTTCTATTTTAATTTTTAATGACCATTTTACCCTTATTTGAAACAAAATTAGGTTCACAAAATATGAAATATTTTTGGCGGGAAAAGTGATTCCGCAATTTTCCTGCCAAAACACTTAAAACCTTTAAAATACCTTGTAAAATTTTCCCGTAAAAATTTTTCCCGCCAAAAATTTTTTTTTGCGGGAAAAGTGATTCCGCAATTTTATTGGCGGGAAAAATTTACAAGGTATTTTAAAAGTTTTACGGAGTATTTACAAGTGTTTTGTAAGGTTTTACAATGTATTTTAAAAGGTTTTATAAGGTACTTATAAAGTTTTATAAGGTATTTATAACTTGTAAAACCTTATAAAAAACTTGTAAAACCTTATAACTTGTAAAACTTTATAAAATAGCTTGTAAAATCTTATAATATCTTATAAAGACCTTATAAATACGTTGTAAAACCTTTTAAAATACATTGTAAAACCTTATAAATACCCTGTAAAAAACCTTTAAAATACCTTGTAAACTTTTTCCGCCAAAAATTTAACGCCAAAAAAATTGTGGAATCACTTTTCCCGCAAAAGAAATTTTTTGGCGGGAAAAAAGTTTACGGGAAAATTTTACAAGGTATTTTAAAGGTTTTACAAGTTTTTACAAGTGTTTTGGCGGGAAAAATTGCGGGATCACTTTTCCCGCAAAAAAATATTTTGTATTTTGTGGACCTAATTTTGTTATATTTTCTTATATATTTGTGATATCTTTTATTAAAAGAAGGGTAATTTAGTCATTTTATACATAAAAAGGGGTATTTTTAAAAATGAACAGCCAAAAGGGGCATTTTTAAAAAAGGGTATTGAAAAAGGAGCATTTTTGTGAGTCTCCCAATTTTTTACACATATAAACGTATCTTCGCATACGACAAACAAATAAAAAAAAGATACTGTTATATAGTACAAAGTTACTTAATGTGTTTATTAAAAAAACCATTCGAATTTTTAGCCAAACAAAATAATCGCTTTATGTAATGTTTAATGGTCTGATTGTGAAATTTTCCTCTGACGGCTAGGGTTAAACGAACGATCAATACTACTGCCACGTTGGATAAAGCAATAACTCGAAAATCCACCACGTGTCACCTACATAGTCAATCAGTTAATTTTCTTTTTTATTCGTCGACAAGTTAACTAAGTTACGAAAGAGAGAGAAACCCGACAAATTTATTTGGCGGGACTCTAAACTCCGACGTGGCATTTTCGTTGCTTCAGAATTCTTTTTAACTGTCGTAAAAAGTCCTTTACGTGACCGCTCATCTCAAAAGATAAATGTAATTTAACCAATCTAAACTTGCCACATACTCAGTTTTCGCCTCTGTCACGTTTATTTTTCGTGAACGGCCGTGAGTTTAGTGTTCTCTAGATATTTTTAAGCTAAAAGAGTAGCTTCGACAAAAACAAGATCCAAGGCGACGAATAAGAAAGAGCGATCTTCCACGTGTCATGTTGATAATAACCCACGTGGAAATAGACTGAAACCACGTGGATATCTTTTGATTCGTTTGTGCACGCGCTTTGTAGGCGCGTAACGTTAAAAAAATCTGAATCTACTGGTGAGAGTTACTCCACTGTTATTAATTACTCCTGACCATTGACCAAAGATTGTTGGTGTTTTCAAATTCAATTAATTACACAAAATCTTATTTTACGTGGGGCCTTATCCATGTCACTTTCATTCTTATATTTAAAAAACAAATAACTATAATCGCTAAATATATGCATTATTTTAAAATAAAGATACCGTTTGAAAATATTGTTATTGGGTTGTGAAGTAAAAATAGAATCCTACTGTATTCCTAGTTTTCTTTTATATTCTCACGAACAATTTTGCTCTATGTACTCGTGTGTATCTTACGAATTGACGTTTTAGACCATGTCAGAATATGATAACAATGGTATTAAATAAAAATATACACCAAACTAGGTTAAATTCAGGGTTAACATTTTTTTTGTAGATGTAATATACTTTCATTTTTAATTTATCCAGATTATTAAGTAAAACTAAAATAAAATTTTAAAGAAAAATATTTTAAAAACTGGACAATAAATACTTCATATCTCGAGAGATCAATTCAAAATTTTACCATTAATTACCTTTGAAAAATAGCAAGACAAGCCAACCTTTATTTTCTTTTGGCAAATGCCAACTTTTATTTAGAGAATACATTTCTAGAGAAAATAATTTTTAAGTAGTTAATTAAAATGAGAAAAGAGCAGTGAAAGATGATTTCCACAAAAAGGGAAATAATGTGAAAGGAGAGGTGGAAACATTAAAAAAAAAATAATGCAAAAGGAGCGGTGAAAAAGCTAAGAAGCATGGAATCGCCGGTGGAGCTGCGTTTCTCGCTTCGGAAGCGGAAGCGCCTGGAATCGCTCAGAATCGTCTCCGAATCGCGATTCTCTAAATGAGCCGTTTGGAACCGCGGTGGAAGCGACGATTCGGAGTTGGAAGCGTGGTGGTGTAGATCGGAAGCGTGAACGGTGGCTACGTTATTGAAATTCGATATTTCTTAATTATATCATTTTATGTGATAATAATGATGATTTGTGTTGAATAGTCCATGAATTCGCAAAATCCAAGTGAAAATGAGATAAAACGATGATTATTAACGAAGCAAAAAAGAGTGGCGGCCATAGCTAGGGTTTTGAAAATCGTAGGGGATGAAGATGACGGTCGAATGACCATATTACCTTTTGATAATGAAAAACCAGAAAAAAAATTGCCAAATTATAAAGGATTAATGGGTTCGTACTAGTAACTTCTTAGAGAGATTTAATGCAATTTGCCAATAGTGCTACAAGAACTTTTGCAAATTCATTGCAACTAAAACTATATAACCTTATATCTGTAACCTTAAATATTAATTTATTTAATTAATGATATATAAAAGCTTTATATCAAATTTCCTGATTATTCTGTCAAACTATTTATTATATATATATATATATATACGCTTCCAACACGTACCCGCTTCTTAAATTTTTTTTAAAATGCGCTTCTCCGCTTCCAAACGCTTCCGCTTCCGCGTATCCGCTTTCGATTCCATGCAGCTTAGTGAAAAAGTAATAATTAAAAGATAAAAAAAAAAACAAAACAAAAGAAGAGGTAAGAGCAATTCCACATTGGCAGCTAACTGTGGACCCCACAGTTCTCGGAAGTTCCGTGACCGCGACTTGAGTGAATAAGGTCCCACATGCATTTCCCTCTCTTTTAATCTCAGCCATTGGATCGTTTCTTGAACGAACGGCTCAGATCAACCGGTCGGGTGCCAACTCAACGCTTTTTTTTTTTTTTTTTTTGTGGGATGACGCTTTCTGCCAAGTCAGATTGTTTACAAAAAAGTGGAAGAAAAAAAAATATAATAGAAAATGATCTAACGGTTGTGAGAGCATTTAGCTATTGGCAACAAATGGTATTGGCCGTTGATATGTAACTAATGAGTTAAATTATTTTAGATTGTGGTGGGACCTGTTTCCTTACTGTATTAGGTTTTATTGTTTAGCTTCTATTCCCTTATTGAATTATAAAAATCTTGAGACTATTATATGGTTTATTACTATTTTAGAAATATCCAAATATGACCAGATTTAATTAGTTGTTATAGAAGATTATAGTTATGTCAATTTGACTAATCTAACCTAAGAATTATCAATATTTGATTTACATGTTTCCCATTTAGATTATTTTTTAGTTATATATTGAAAATTGTTGATTAATAAATCTCTTTTTTATTAGTTAAAAATAGAGATATATCTAATATCTTACTTGACATTTTTCCCTTTTTAAGATTCTAAGAATTAAAAGTTTTAAAAATCAATTTTGCAAAGCTGGCATCTTTGAAAAGGTAAATTTAATTAACAGCTTTTATTGCATGCACACAAAAATTTAATAAATATTACATAAATCAGTAAGAGGGAAAGTAAATAGTTAACTATTTATTTACATGAGTTCTAAACAAAATTAGTGAGTGGCAAATAAAAAATTATTTAACCAATTGGATTTACTTGAAGGAAAGGAAAAAGTAAAAAAAAAAAAAAAGAAAAAAAAGAAGAGAAGTAGAGAAGTGGAACCTGATATGATTAATATTACCGGTTGGATCGGTATGTGTTGGTGGTCACAAAGATTCCATTCTGATCGTAGATTGCCTTTACCAAGGTCTCTGTCTACCGGTAATAGCCGGTGATACATCTTCTCCAGACACATTTTGAATTTTAATAATTAAAATAACATCATATTTGTGCGTGTATATGTCAGTATTTTTGTTTTCTTTTCACACGAGTCATCGCGATTAGTGGACAACAGTACACTACCCCAGGAGCCTTTTTATTGCAGAATATATTATCGTTAATTTAAAATATTAGTATCTTAATCTTTCCGACTTTCATCTTACCAAAAAAAAAATCTTTCCGACTTTCAATATATTTTATTTGTTTTTTGCTAGACAGAGCAAAGTCAATAAAATATTGGTAGCGATAATATAGACGGAACCGTGTGATGTCAAACTCTTGACACGTGGCAGCTTCTGTATAATAACTGGTAACAGTCCAAAATAATTTTTTCACATGAATCCGACTCGGAAATTATATTCTTTTAAAACCGAAAAATTAAATGTTAACAAATAAAATAATTATAACAATAAGATATCGGTTTTTGAAGGGCCCACCAAGGATACTGACTAATAAAATAATTAAAAGAATACGTTTTATATTTAATAATAGAAATAATAATCGGTGTTAAAATAAATAAATAATAAAATAGGAAATATCGGTTATTTATTATATGTGAGATCTCTTATAACGGAGGGCCAAGATTTTGTCTTGCTGGTATATAGTTGATCATGACCGTTGGATGAATTCACACCGACGGTGAAGATTGAGAAAATGTTTTACGGCAGGAGATATGAGCCGTGGATTTATTCGCTACTCTGCTTTTATGAGGAGCACAAATAAAGGAGATAATGGGAAGCAAGTAGAGAGATAGAGGAAAGAGAGATAAAGAGAGAGAAAAGGGGTTGCGATTTTGGGAGAAGAGAAAAGAGGAAGAAGCATTAGAGAAGAAGATGGATAGAAATAGAGAAGCTAGAAGAGTACCTATGGCGGCTGCCGGAAATGGTCTTTCACGGCGGAGACATAGAGCCGGAAGTTTCAGAGATTCACCAGGTTTTTTTTTCTTATCTCTTGATTTTGTTTGATTTTCTTCAGATCTGGGAGAAAACGTTTGGTTCTGATTGTTTTTAACGTTTTTTATTTTTTCAGAGGAGGAAGGTCCGGTGGAGTTACCGGAGGCGGCGAGGTTGAGAGATCGAGGAGGGAGTAATAAGAAGGATCGAGATCGGGAACGTGATAGAGACAGAGAGAGGGAAAGAGAAAGAGATAGAGAGAGAGATCGGTTAAATAGCCGGAGTAAACGGAGAAGAGGAGAACGGTTAATGATGGTTCACGGTAATTTAGACGACGGTGGTGACGATAGCTCGGAAGAGAGTGTTAACGACGATGAAGAATATGACGACGGAGGAGCTGTAGGACCACCGTCTTCGTTGAAGATGCTTCCTCCGACGAGTAATAATATCTCCGCCGCATCGTTTTCATCGTCTCTTTCAAATCATCACAACGGTGGTAGCGGTAATCTTCATCACCATCACAACCATCATAATAACCATCAGAGGAAGAATTTCCCGCCGACGAAAGTTTTCAGATCGTCTCCTTCTCCGGCGCCGGTTTCACCTCTTGTGTCGACATGGAAAGCCGCTGACGAAATGATCGGTGTTTCGGTTCCTAGAAAAGCTCGGTCAGGTAGAGAGGTGGAAAATTTACATTTATAAACATATCTCTCGCTGATCTAATCTCTCTTCATAGATTTCTAATCTCTTCTTTGATTTTTGTAGCTTGTACGAAGAGACCTCATGAATCATGGTCGTCAAGTACTACCGGAGGTGGTGTTTTTGCTTCCGGTGAACAAATCCACCGCCAAATATCATCAACGTCTCCAGCTAATAGAGTTAGTCCGGCTTCAATTTTAGCATCTCCGTCTCCTCCAGCTCCTACATCTCCTTCTTCATCAAGCATTTCAGTCCGGAAAAAATTGGTTAGTCTCTCTAAATTTTCACTCTAATCTCCATCTTCTTGTTTGACTAATTTTTTTTTTTTTTTTGAAGTCGTCGGGGACAAAACAGAAGACGCTACCGCCGAAATCATCATCGTGTAAGTTATCATCGTCGGTGGCTGTACAAGACGAGATCGAGATTGAGATTGCAGAAGTGTTGTACGGTATGATGAGGATGCCTTTGGCTACCTCAAAACAAGAATCCGCCGGTAACGATTTGACGGAGGCAGCGAAACCAACAGTAGAAGTCAAATCTAGAGTATCTTCACCGATCTCAAATCCTCATACTCTTCCTCAATCCTCCATCACACTGGCTACAAATTCTAGCTCTTCCAATGTTTCTGCCATTGGTAAAATCCTTTTTCCATTAACAAATCAGAACGATCTGTTTTTCAGCCTCTTTTTGCTCACTTTGTTTTATCATTTTTCTCTTCAGCTCCTAAGAGAAAGAAGCCAAGACATGTCAAATACGAAGATGATAACAGTTCACGCATCACTACGATCAAATCCGAAGCCGAAGCTCCTTCGAAAAGTCAAGTTCCGTTTGGTGATCAGCTTAAGAGCTCAGGATCCGGCGAAGGAAACAGCTCTGTATTGGATTCGATCATTCCACAAACGAGAGAAAGTAACGCTTCGTTAGATTCGAGATCAGCTGAGAAAAAAGAGAACAAACTGTCAAAAGATGAAACAATATTGCCGAAAGTGGAATCTTCTTCAGGATTTAGATCCGATGGTGATGGAACTAAATCGTAAGTATTTCTGGATTTTTTAACCAATTTTTGGTACTGAAGAGATTTTATGAAATTTAATATAATCATGCAGGAGTTCGCCGGAAAAAGCGAAGTTTGAGATAGATCTGATGGTAAGTGTCAATACATTTATATTTATTTTGTTTTTAATTTAAAGATTTTTCGTTGTTTTCTAAAATTTTCTGACTAATTTTTTTGTCGTCGGTGCAGGCGCCACCGCCGGTGAGATCATCGTCGGAGAGAGGCGGAGAGATGATGGAATGTGTGGCAGCAGAAGCTAAACCTAAAGTCACGGAAGTGGAAACGGTGAGTGGGGCCTACTTTTGTTTGGTAATATATTGTGATAATTGGGGATATCCATCATTACTCTTTCATTTTTGCTTTTTTTGGCTCTCTTTTTCTTATCTTCATCTTTTTGGCCCTTTTTTTTTTTTTAATTCTCTCATGTGTCCACACTAATGCATGTAGCAGGAAGCAAAGCCTCTGCTGAAGGAAGATAGAGGTGATGCGGCGTTTCATGATCCTCAAGAGAAGAAGAGACCTAGAACGGTGGTAGAAGCTGAACACCATAAGTATGAGAGGAATTGTGAACTTAAACTCGACTTGGATCAATCTGATCATGTTGGTTTAGTAAACAAGCTTCATGTTCAGAAGCAGCCACCGCAGCAACAACTATCTGTTCCTGATAAAACAAGTAAGCCTTTCTCATTTTCCTTCGTCTTCCTCTTGGGATAGTTTCATTTTTATTTTATTTTATAATTGGGCCTCTTTTTCTGAATATTCCAGCTCAAGGTAGCCATTTGCCTCTGCATATGTCTATGCCTGGCTGGCCTGGGGGCCTTCCTACAATGGGGTATGCTTTTTTATAATTTTAGCAAGTGAAACTTTTCCAATGGCTCCTTTTTTCCTCTTTGAATTAATGGAAACTCTCTCTGATGAAACAGATATATGGCACCTACGCAAGGAGTTGTGCCTACGGATGCCAGTTCCTTATCTGCTGCAGCAATGCAGGTAATTTTTAATGGATGTGCCATTCTAAGAATTATCTTTACACTTTTATTTTTCTTTTTTGCATTTACTGATGTAAATTTTGGTCTTGTGCAGCCTCCACCGCATTTACTTTTTAATCAACCGAGGCCTAAGCGATGTGCTACACACTGCTACATTGCTCGGAATATTCAATCTCATCAGCAATTCACAAAGATGAATCCTTTCTGGCCTGCAGCAGCAGGCTCAGCTCCATTGTATGGGACCAAGGCCTGCAATCTTAGTCTCACGCCTCCCACAGAACTTCAGGGGAGTGTTTTGGGAAGAAGTTCCAACCCTGTTCAAGATAAGAATTCTCAATCTACGTCCAAAAGCTCAGATACAGCTCAGAGAAATCAATTATTGCTCCAACAAGCTTTGCCTCCAGGAGCCGCTAATAACATCTTGGTTAGTTTTTTTGTAGTCCATGTATCATGTTTCTCATCAAGTTTTGTCGTTCATCTTACAAGCTGATTGTTTTTTTCTTTTTTCCATTGTAGCATGGTCCTACATTCATATTCCCCTTGGGCCAACAGCCTCATACGGCCGCTACAATAGCTGCTGCATCTGTCAGACCTCCTAATAGTGGCATCACATCTTCTGGACCAACAGCTACTTCTAACTCCATGAATGGTTCTGTATCCGCTACTCCAGCTGGTGCCCCAACAATGAGCTTCAGTTACCCGGCCATGCCGGGAAATGAAACGCAGTACCTGGCCATTTTACAGAATAACGGCTATCCATTTCCAGTTCCAGCACATGTTGGTGCACCACCTGCTTATAGAGGAGCTCCTGGGCAGCCGATGCCATTTTTTAATGGTTCATTCTATTCCTCCCAAATGATCCAGCCTCCACATCATCAGCCACAGAAGCAGCAACAGCAGCAGCAAACTGGTCAAATGCTCCAGAGCCATGCTCCTAACAACCAGAATGGGAGTGTTTCCACTGGTTCCTCAGCAGCACAAAAGCATCTGCAGAACCAACAGTTGAGGCCACCGATCAATCATGGGAACTCCCAAGGATTTCCAACTCATAAAGTCCAGTCTCAGCCTTTGAGTTTTCAGCAGAGGCAGCAACCCAGAGACAATGCAACTCAACATAGTGAGACTGTAGGGGAAGATAGCCCATCAACTGCTGATAGCCGGGGTTCTCGTTCCAATGTTGCCTATGGCCAGAACTATGGTATGCAAATGCAACCAACCAACTTGGGTTTGATGAGTTCACCAGCCCCAGGTGGTGGAGTGGTTGGATCTTCGAGCAGTCATGGTGAAAAGAAACCACAGCAGCAGGTTTCAAAGGCTGGGGCAGAATCCTTCCAGTCACAGGGTTATGCTATGACTTTTGCAACGTTCAATGGGGCTAACACTGCTACTGCCCTAAACATGTCATCAGTTGCTCAGAATCAAGCTATGTTTCACAGCATGCCCGAAGCAGCGAGGCAAGGTTATCAGATGATGGCAGTTGCTCAAGCAGCTCAACAAAAAATGAACTACAGTGCTTCTCAAGAAGATGGAAAATCCGGGTCTATTGGTGCTGCTACTGCTAATACCCCAGAGGAACAAAGGAAGTCAGGAGGAGGAACAACAGGGAAAGCGAGTGGTGGGAATGGTGGGCAGTCTATTGCTTTCTCTAACAAACACGATTTAGCTGATGCATCTGTTTCTGCTGTCACGAGTGGTAGCATCGTTGATAGCTCATCCCGTTTGCTCAACCTTGGTTCTGCTCTGCCACAGAGTTCGGGTTCTATGCCCCCGTCTCATCATCATCAGCAACTACTACAGCAACAGCAGCAGCAGCAGCAGCAGCATATGCAACGGAGTCAATCACAGCAACCTTATACCACCATGTATCTCCAGAAGCAGCAACGGTATGCAACTTCAGTGGCTGCTTCTGCTGCTAGAACCAAAGGGCCCGTGGCGAGTAACGGGAGTGGTTTCCCTGATCACAATATCACCACATCACCTGCGGCAACCACCAAGTTTGCAAATGCTAATACAGGGTTCCCTCAAAACCTTGTCCAGTCGAGCAGCAATCAGGTTCAGTCTCCTCAGTGGAAAAACAATTCACCCAGGACAACAAATAGTACCCAAGCTCAGTCTCCTTCGATACTGTCGCCATCATCATCAGTTGCTGCTGCATCGTCACTAAGAAATGTCTCGCATAAACAGCAAAGCCGTCCCCAGCAATCGCAGATATCTTTTGCAGCAAACTCGAAACCAATGGCTTCTGGTTCACCAATGCAGCAGGTGCAAGGAGGAACCAACCACCAGGCTCCGTCTCCACCAATGTTAGTTGGGTCGCCTTCGACGTCTTCCGTCTCCAAAAACGCCAGCGGAAGCCCAAGAACAACTGCTTCCGCTTCCTCGGCAGCTAACAAAGCTGGACAAGCTTCCTCTACTACTCACTCATCATCTCAGCCGTCCAAGAACTTACAGTCTGCATCTGTGGCGTCATCTGCTGGTGGAAGGAACAATGGTCCTTCTGTTCTTGGAAACCCGACCACGAGCTCTGGATCCAAGTCGCAGCAACAGCATCAGTTGCCAAAGCATGGGATGCAGCCGCAAGCACAGCTTTTCTTCTCTAATCCTTACATGCAAGCTCAACATCAACATCAACAGCAACAGATCACTATATCTCCTTCTGGTGGGTATTACATCCAAAGACATCAGCAACAGTCAGGTTCAGCACCTGCTGCTGTAGCCACATGTCCTCCAGTCACGGGAGCCGTCAGCGCCACTTCAGATCCAGCGAAAGCCCTAGCGGCAGCAGCAGCAGCAAATAACATGAAAGGAGGAAGTGGTATGGGTAAAACTCAACAACATCAGCTTGGGCCTCCAGGGTTCACGAATGTTCACGCGGTTCCCTCTGCGGTTCAGGTTAAACCTGTGGATCAGAAGCAACAAGCGGGTGAGTGAAAGATCCTTAAAACCAATTTGTTTTAGCTTAAAAGAGACTCTCTGAATGGTTGGGAAGTTCCAGTTATAGCTTGTGCTGGCGAGACGAAAGGACTTTAAATAGTCTGATGAAGAAAAGAAGCAGACGGAACAGAACACCTTTAAAAAGGGATGGCAATTTTTTTGGAGTTGGGGGTGCTTTTAAAAGCATTGTGTACAATTTAGTGTTTATATATTCTGACAGGAACCTACGGTTTCAATTCCAAAACCCAAAAAAAAAGAAAAAAGGAAGAAGCAAAATCACTGAAGCTCTCTAATTTTAAAAAATTTATTCATTCTTCTTGGGGAGGTTTGAGTTGTTTTGGTGGTGATGTTGTTATTAGGTAGGAATCCAAAAGAAAATGGGACAAGTAAAGAGTCGTAAGACACAGCAAGAGCCAACGAACGTACGTTCATAAGTTGGCCCTATGTAGTTTGGGTTGTTATATTGTGTGGGGAGCATGGGACAGTATGATGAATTTATGATTTGTTCTATTTTGTGTTTATGTTTTTTCGCAGCAGTAAAAAATTGTAGTAGCGGACGTTGTCAATAAAGACCCCACGCGTGCAAACTTTGCCAAATAAGCACCTTTTTTTTTACCATTCACCCTTTTTTGGTGTTTTTTTACCAATCATTACATTTTTCCTTAACCATCTCAAGAATTTGGATTATCTTCTATCAGTACCTCTATTGTCCACAGCTTTTTTTTACTTTTCTTTTTTTTTTTTCTTTTGTATATTTTCTACTTTAATCAATTTTGGACTCAACGAGACACAAAATCAAAAGTGAGGGGTCCCGTACGGTAATAATTAAAACGTATGGGGTTCGATTTCGAAAGTTCTGAAAATGAATGGGGCTCACTTGGCAAACTCCAAAATGAGTCAGCGGGTCCACTATTAAACTTTGTGGGCTCAGACTTTACCTATTATTATATGTCTCGTTGTTCCTGGCCCACTTACAATATACCGAATAAACCTATATTTTAATATATTTTTGTCAAAAAATCTCCAAATTAAATATCTTTATATAATTTATAATATATGTATATTGTCTCTCAATATATATATCATTCCATGCCAGTGACAATTCAAATTATGTGGAAATTATTTGCTTGGTGGTTGATTGAGAATGTAAAATAATAAGATAACAAATTTTCCTAAAGAAAACCAATGTAAAGAGACAAATAATGACAAAGTTCCTTTTTAACCTTTTCTCTAACACAGTAACATGAATTTACTTTTAATTATTTTTTTCAGTCCATATTAAGAAAAGACAATTTTGTTTTTGTTTGTGGAGAGTAAGACATGTGTATTGGAGGAGAAAGACCATTGTCCCACATGCATTCCCCAATCTCCAAGTAATTGCAATTCTTGAGTTTTTCTCTACATATTGTTATTAAAATTAAATATGAATTGCTATAAGTAAAACTATTAAGGCATTAGATAGGAAATGCTAGAGTATTATCCATTTTATAGAAAACAAAATCTAGTTACCTGCGAGGAAGTGTAAGAGAGTCTCGATCCTAAATTTCTCAAAAAATAAAACCAAAAACACAAACACACATACTAAATTATAAGGATGTAGCACAAGACTCAAATTGTACCATGCCTGTAAGATAATATTTTATTTGCCCTCGTTGCTATTTTGATTTGATTCCATTTTTTTTGTCATACGGTGCCAATACTTTTAAAAAGTTCAACTTAAAAATTGAAAAATGAAAAATGAATGTATTACTTTGATTTAAAACCTAGCAGGTTTATAATATAATAGACTCAGCCAAAATAGTGGGCTTTAAGAAGTCTCTCTAAGTTCATTTAAAATTATAGTTTGGCTATTAGAGATAATATTATCCCACATTGGAAAGGATAAGGGATCTTGACTAGTATATAAGATATATGGGCCTTACCACTCATTGCCAATTGGTTTTGAGTTGGAAGCCCATATTCTAATATGGTATCAGAGCTCGATCCGTACATGTCCAAATCCAATCCACCATCGGCCCGGCCCAATAGTTGGCCCGCCGATCCATGTCCGAGCATACCGAGATCAAAGGCTAGAGTCATCATCTCGAGGAGGCGTATTAGGGATAATATTATCCCACATTGGAAAGGACAATGGATCTTGACTAGTATATAAGATATATGGGCCTCTCCACTCATTGCCAATTGGTTTTGAGTTGGAAGCCCATATTCTAATATGGTATCAGAGCCCGATCCGTACATGTCCAAATCCAATCCACCATCGGCCCGACCCAATAGTTGGCCCGCCGATCCATGCCCGAGCATACCGAGATCAATGGCTAGACATCATCTCGAGGGGGCGTATTAGGGATAATATTATCCCACATTGGAAAGAACAAGGGATCTTGACTAGTATATAAGATATATGGGTCTCTCCACTCATTGCCAATCGGTTTTGAGTTGGAAGCCCATATTCTAATATGGGCTTTACCTTAATTACACTGACACACGAGTCACGGATATATCGACATAAAAAGAGGACAAACGAAGAGATAGATACAGTAGTAAATAGGTTACATACAAATTTGGCAAGTAACAATGTTTAACACCACCATTGACCATATCGGTCATCGGACATTGTTTGACGATTCTTCATAGTTGCGTAAGAATGTTATAATCTATATACTAAGAAACGCAATGAAGAAACCAAATAGTCTATACCCATGAGGACCATGGACAATCACAAGCAAAAGACCAAAATACTTATAAGAAAGGGATCAACCCCCACGAGCTTGAAGATATCGAAGTACTGTAAAATCAGTGTCGGTCCAAACATTTTAAGTGCCATAAGCGAAAAAAAATAAAATATTATTTTTGATTTAAGTGTTCTAAACAAAAAAATATATTTTTGAGTTTGACTATTAATTATGAGATATTAGCAGTATAAATAAACCACTAAGCTACATATTTAATCACTATGAACTTAATTTAGATGATATGTATTAGACCACACGCAGTGGTGCAATTTTAACTCGGGTGTTAGTAATAAAAAATAGAGAAATAATAGAATAGTGGGTATACAGATAACACACGGGTGTTAAATAACACACGGGTGTGAGTATTATTTTTATCTTTGATGGTTCATCTATCTCTCTCTCCACACAAATCTCTCTCTTTTAAAAAAAATTATAATAAATATATTGGTCACACCCAAAACTAAAGTTTCCCATTGTGTATGCTCTTAGTGTTTTTGTGGATTATACAAATAATTATAACGATTTATATTGATGCTACCATTGTTTACACACTAGTTAAATTAATTCATACACCTATTTAAACAAAAATAAATGATGGATCTATATGACCACTTTTATATATGCATGACCGAAACTCTAAATATAAGAATTTTGAAGAAAAAAAAACTGAAAATGACAAAACATTTACATTAAAAAGTAAGAAACAAGAACATATAATAGGATGAAAGACCTATGTTATATAATGTTATCAAGTCACGTGTGAACATTTTCTAATATTCAAGCGAGGGCCGTAAGCGGTCGCTTATATTGCTTACCCTCAAGGTCGGCACTGTGTAAAATAGCTGGAGCAAAGAGCTTCAATCTCAGCTTCTCTATCTCTGTTTCATGTTAATGAACTGCAAAAGAAATACTGGATATGCTGTGCTGAAAGGTAAATTTCTCGTTTAAGAGCTTATAGAAAAATATTAAAATCTAGAATCTTCCAAAAATGTTGGCTTGTGTTGTGTATGAGCAACGTATAAACGTACAGTCCCTAATTATGATTTTTGCTAGAGAAAAAGATCTTTCATGTTTCAAACTATATATGGTTTTTCTCTACACTGTACTAAATTCTCAATCTTAGTTGAATGCAAAAAAATCAATATAAAGGGTTCAAATATGGAAAAGAGAAAAGAGAAAGACACCTGAGTCAGAAAATAATATCTCCTGTGCCTCACCTACTACTAAGTACTACCAACATGGTTCGGCTCATTGGGACAGTGCATAAGCGTGGAACCAAATACGATGATTACGTTTTTCTACCTTTTAAATTATTGGGATAGTGCATAAGTAGGGAATACATATATAACCCATGGGTCAAAAATAATCGAACCCAACCATAAGGCTAATATGTCCATGTATACATTCATTACATTGTTTAGTGTTTAGGGTTTAGGGTTTAGGGTTTACTAAAGAAAATGTTTACTGATATTTAGCATATGTTTTGTAAGTTACAAATTGTAACTAACTGATATTAATTATTGAAAAAAAAATTGATTAAACCACATTCTTTTAACACACAACGATTTAAAGAGGAGACAACAAACCACACTTATTGTATTTTTTTTTTGTATGAATGTAAAATTTTATTCATTGAAAAACAGTTTTACAGTTGAATGCCACATTGAAAGCTGAATGGTTTGAAGAAAAAGAGAGGAGAGTTTACATCAAACTTATTTTCTAATTGGCACTTATTGTATTTTTACACAAGAATATGATTAAAAAGTAGAAGCTCACTAATGCAAACAACTAATTCCAAACCACCAGTCCTATCAAATATCAACGCATGTGATTCACATTTCACTTGAATATTCATTTCTTTCATGGGCAAAAAAAAAAAAAAAAAAAAAAAGAGTTTCGTTTAATTTCAATGCCAAAAAACGTGTGTTGATTCCTAACACGGTTAACAAGTAAAGAAGAGTATCTCCAATAAAGAAGTAAATTAAGAACATGTTTCGGAGGGTGGTCACACACCTACTCACTTCCTAATCTCTTTTTTACTCTTTTTTAATAACATATTCCTCTCCTTCTAATTGTCAACTTTATATTCAATAAAACAACAATAGCTAGTTCTATGTATACAAATATTAGTTTTCAAGCTTGTTTCTAACTTTATATTCTATCCGTTTCGAAATATAAAATATTTTAGAGATTTCTTTCTTATCTTATTTTATAAGATGTTTTCAATTTTCTATATATATACATTATAAATTTATATGATATTTTGTGAACTTGTATCGCTTCTTTAATACATGGTTGGACTATATAAATAATATTTTTTGTGAAAATTTTAAAATACATAACTTTATTTATAATTTCTTAATATCCCTCTTTTATATAAAACATCATATATATTCCTAAATATATGGAGTACAAATTAATGATAGTGGTAGGTATATTTAATGGTGTTTGTGTAGTGGTGTATTTGAGTATTTCAATGGAAAATCCTGTTCAATGTATGTTAATAACAATGGTAATTATATTTAATGATCTTTGTGTAGTGGTATTTTATGAGTATTTCAATGGGCAATCTTATTCAATGTATTTTAATAACAATGGTAGTTATATTTAATGATGTTTCTGTAGTGGAATTTGAGTATTTCATTGGGCAATCTTGTTCAATGTACATTCTAATAACAGTGGTTAGATGATAATGAACGAATTTATTAAGGAACTAACTACCAGCGGCGTGGATATTGAATACTAAGAATTAGGCATCAATCTAAGTTGCACCATTGGATTAAGTTGTGCATTTCTTAATGAAAAAAAAAACTTTGGCCTCTCTAGACTTGTTCAGAACTGACTATCAAGTTTGATCTTTAAAAT